AGCTTTCGGACTCACATTGGAGCCCATATTCAAGGAACCCAGTGGTGAAATCTAAAATTTGTTACTACTGGTTCTGTGGGCGTGGCTTGGTGGGGGGGGTAATGTGAGCGTGGTTTGGTGGTGGTGGATTTGGTGGTGGTGGGTAAAATTGGCGTGGCCAATTTTTTTTCTTTTAAAACCATTTTTTCTACAACCTCTTCGGCAAAGAGGTTGTAAAAAAATGCTTTCAAAAGGCTCTGATGATCCAGCTAAGTTGCCTGATCGGCAAGAGGCTTTTTTCTTTTAAAAGCCTCTGCCAATCAGGCAACTCAGCTGGGATCATCAGATGACGATCCCTTTGACGATCCCAGCTGAGCCGCGTGATCATCAGAAGCTTTTTTTTTTTTTTACTTTTAAAAGCATTTTTTCAGCTGAAGAGCTTGTAGAAAAAATGCTTTTAAAATTAAAAAAATGCCTCTGGATGATTGTGCGGCTCTGCTGGGCATGGGGGGGGGGGGGGGCAGGGATTTTTGCTACCAGTTCTCCGAACCACCCGCCATCGCTACCGGATCGAGCGATCCGGTCCGAATTGGGAGCATTTCACCCCTGAAGGAACCTTCTGGAAAGAAGCCAGATAAAACCTTCTGAGTGATCTACTCAGATTGGATCCTGCAACATTATCCTGGACAGGTATATTTGCTTTAGTTTTATATGTTTTAGGCTCGGGCCAAAAAAAGTAGCAGTCTTGCTTTAGCAGATGTTATACAGGTTAAGTCCTCAACTTACAACCACAATTGAGCCCAAAATTTATGTTGCTAAATGAGAAATTTGTCAAGCGAGTTTTGCCCTATTTTTACGACTTTTATTGCCAAATTTGTTAAGTGAATCACTGCAGTTGTTAAATAGTAACACGGTCGTTAAATGAATCTGGTTTCCCCATCGACTTTGCTTGTCAGAAGGTCGCAAAAGAGGATCATGTGATCCAGGGACACTGCAACCGTCATAAATGTGAGCCAGTTGCCGAGCATCTGAATATAAATCAGATGATCAGAGATGCTGAAACAGTCATAAGTGTGAAAAAATGGTCATAACTCACTTTTTTCAGTACCGTTGTAACTTTGAACAGTCACTAAGTGAATTGTTGTAGATCGAGGACTACCTGTCTGATCATGTAAAGTCACTAAGGCAGGGGTGCTATTCAGCAGGTTCTGAAGAACCGGTAGTAGAAATTTTGAGTAGAACCGGCAAATATCATCTCTGGCTGGCCCCAGAGTGGGATGGGAGTAGAGATTTTGCAATATCCTTCCCCCATGAGTGGGGTGGGAATGGGGATTTTGCAGTATCCTTCCCCTGCCACGCCCACCAAGCCATGCCCACAGAATCAGTTAGTAAAAAAAAATTGGATTTCACCACTGCACTAAGGCTTTGTCTCCTTCCCAAGTACAAGAACTGAGTTTGTCCTTAGCAAAACACCACAAATGTAGTTTTCATAAACAAATTGTTAGCCATTTTTAATGGCAGGAAACAGCAAGTCTTCTTCCTAAGATAAAAAAGTAGATAAGAGATTTTAAAGTCTCCATTATTTTCCCCTGGTATTTGCATAAGCATTTACTTGTTACATTAATCCAAATGCTGCTACTTTCCCAAGGGAGAGAAAGAGAAACAAGAATTAAATTAATTAAAGAGAAAAACATTTTGGCATCATTAAGCAGAAGTACATTTGAACATGTGCCTTTGAGTTCTCTTTCGGGAGCCAATTAAAACTGCTAACTTTGTACAGCAATTTATCTTTTCCTACAGAAACAAGCCAAGCAATTAAACAGCAAACACTGTTTGCAATTAAGGAGTTGAAGAAACGTTGTAGAAATGTTACCCTTCTCAACTAGAAAACACGGTTGAGGAATCTATTCACATACATGCTAGTTAAGAAACTGGTACTAGGCTGGATTTTACTTCAAATTAAGCAGCGGAGACTCCGAATTTAGATGTTACGCTAAACCATGGTTTGGTTAACTGTAATTTATTTATTAAACGTATATGCCACCCATGAATTCACACAGTAAACTGTATGTATGTATACAGATGTATGTACAGTAGTGGCCAAAATTGTGGAAACCTTTTGGGAAAAGTGTATTTTATAAAACTAGCTAATAATACTTTTTTTTAGTAGTATCATAAAATTATATATCAATAGAAAGATAATTTAATAAAGAATGTAATGCAATAACTTTTATGAAGGCTTTGCTATTAGAATTTGCTATTAGAATAGCAGTTACAGTATAAAGAAGAAAAGTGAAACACATAGAAAAAATAAGATATACAAAAATTATCACCATGTCAGTTAATACTTAGCTGGGTAACCTTTAGCATGAATTATGGCCTTACAACGTCTTCCCAAGGAATGAACCAAGTCTTTGAGTTCTGCAGCTGTTTATAATGTGAAACCAAGATTGAATGAATGCTTCTATTAACTGGGTTTTATTGCTGGGTCGCTTCTGACTAACATGTTTCGGCATATCTGTGGGTACACGAGCATTGCCCTAGCTCAGTTCCAGTGTGCATGCATGCACCGGCCAGCTGATTTTTGGGCCTTCCAGGCCCACCAGAAATTGGGAAACGGGCCATTTCCAGCTTCTGGAGGGCCTCCAAGTGGGTGGGGAAGGCCATTTTCGCCCTCCCCATGCTCCAAGAAAGCCTCTGGAGCCTGGGGAGGGCAAAAAATGGGCCTACTGGGCCCACCATGCCATTGCGTGGCAAAAGTGGGGGGAGCTTGGGGGGGTCATGCGTGCATGCGTGGGGGAGTCACGTGCACACGTGCGGGGGATGGGCCACCTTAAATTACGGGTGTGGCCATGTGCCCGCCACCCCCCCCCCTTGCACCCTCTCCTCTTTTGGCACACGACAGCAAAAAAGTTAGCCATCACTGGTCTGGGCTATTCCCAGGCCATTCCAGTAGTGGAATACGATTATCTTGAAACTCCTCCCAAAGAGTGGTGTTATTAGCCATCAAGCCTCAAAAATTCACTTTTCCCAAAAGGTTTCCACAATTTTGGCCACTACTATATATATGTATGTATATGGGTTAGTATGGTAGTCCATTTCTTTTAATATTAAAATAGACAAAGTCAATCTTGACACACTACAGGTACAACCACAATGGAGCCCTAATTTACATTGCTAAGCAGGACAGTTGTTAAGTGAGTTTCATCCATTTTACAGTGTTTCTTGCCACAGTTGTTAAGTGAATCACTGAAGTTGTTAAGAGAATTGTTCAATTGTTAAACAAATCCCCACTGACTTTGCTTGTGGGAAGCTGCCTGGGCAGATTACAAATGATCATAGGACTTTGGGACAGTGCAACAGTCATAAATATGAGTCAGCTGCCAAGTATCTAAATTTTGATCACCTGGCCATGAGGATCCTGCAACAGTCCAAGTGTGAAAAATGTTCATAAATCACTTTTTTTTTTCAGTGCCGTTATAACTTTGAACGATCACTAAACGAATGGTTTGTAAATCGAGGACTACCTATATTTGAAATTCTCCTGGGTGCATAAGCTATTGCAATTCCCTTTTATAAAAGACAGATGAAGTCAGTGGGGTTTTATTAACAGGATCTAATGAATCTAATTCTTCATCAGTTCCTGCGGTAGTAGACATCCACACATCTTTAAATTGCCAATTTTAAGGAACACCGTTTTAGACTGAGAAAAAAATAAAAAAAATAAAAACCCAAGATAATTATTTGCACATCATTGCCAAGGAAACTGCATTTACATCAGCATGAGTTATCTCCATTTGAAGATAGCACCACCATTAACTCTTCTTTACTTATGCTTATTATACATATAAAACTGATGGATTCAGGAGAGACCATTAAAGAAATCAAATTTAAATTTCAAAGCGTACAAGTTTCCTATGTTTTACAATTTAATTTTTTATTAATAAGGATAACCATGGGCCGATGTTTAACCATTTCTTGATGCCAGCTTGATAGGGCCAGCAGATGCTGAATAAAATTACTTGCCATAAGAAGAGATTCGCTCCCCATGATTATATTTTTTACCCATTCTTTGGCAATTAATTGGTCCTGCTTTCACAATGAACCCAGAAGTTGATGAACACTTCTGTCATATTCCCTGAATGACCTTCTTACAAGCAGCCTTCTTTAACTACAATCATTAGGCTGCTATAGTGCATTGTATGCCAACACTATTAGATGCAGATTGTTTTTTTCCCCAGTGCCATCTCTCGGCTGAATACCTACCGTATTTTTCGGACTTTAAGACGCACCGGAATATAAGACGCACCAAGATTTCGAAGAGGAAAACAAGAAAAAAAATTAGTTTTTGCCCTCCCCAGCACCCAGGAGCACTCTGCAGGCCTCCCAAACCCTCTATGCATCCCATTTTTGTAAAAAATGGACCTGATTTTGGCAAAAACGGGACGTGCGGGGTGGGATTTCGGGAGGCCAAAGATGGCTGTATTCGGTGTATAAGACGCATCAACATTTCCACCCTCTTTTAGGGGGGAAGTGCATCTTATACTCCAAAAAGTACAGTAATTCCCACTGGACTGTCTCATTTCTCATCTTTCCTACTATCTTCTCCTATTGGTTTCTTATAATGTATCTATTGTTGTTTTATGATTTATGACCTATTACTTGTTGTTTATATGTACACTGTGAGCTTATGCACCGGAGACAAATACCTTGCATGTCCAACCACATTTGCCAATAATTTTCTACCCTACTCTTTTTTTCTCTTCTCTCCTTTCCCCTCCCTATTCGACTCTGTTCTATTCTGTTGTTCTTTTCTATTCTATTCCACTTTCTCTACTCCATTCTAATTCTATTTTAATTCTAACTTTAATTCAATTCAGTTCTAATTCTGATTCTATTCCTGTCCCGTTCCGTTCCCTTCTACTCTAGTCTCAGCCATATGAGATCAACACAGTAGTTCTACTTAATGCTAAGTAAAACATTTGTTTTACCATTCTCCATAAAGAGAAATTTTCATGATATTATGGCAAAGAACTCATTTTATTGGATTGGAAGGGGAAAAGATCAGGAGTCTGGCAAGAAAAAGTATACAAAAAAAACCCCCATCTCAAAATAATATCAAATAAATACAGAAAGCATCTCTTCTATTTACACAGAAATAACAAGTTGGATGTAGAGGGGGTCATACTGACTTCATAAGACGGTGGGATTTAGGACAGTCATGCTAACCTAAGTCCCACTGACTTCATTAATACACTGCAAAAAAGAACCGAATCTGATTCAGATGAATGGAATCTACAAAGGACAGGATTTAAACTGACCGACTGCCCAACCTTAAATGCGATCAAGGCAAAGCAAGAGCGAAGGTGAAAGAAGAGGTCGGAAAAGGGGGAAGAAAATTAAAGAGATGGGGAATAAAAATGAGCACCCCCAGATTTTCTGTAGACACTCATTTTAGTACAACTGAAAGTAAGACAGAGACTGGTGTCTTTGGAAAACAAATTTTTGGGGGGGGGGGAGGAACCAAGAGAGATGAGAATTAAGCACCAGTTTGAGCAAACGTTCTACGATTCTCTTTTTTCTCTCGCTCCTTCACTTAACGGCTGGATTGTACTTCTACGAATCAGTCCAATCTCTCTAAACTACTGAAAAAGGTATGAGGAGACGGAGCTGATGTAGCCTAAAAATCTGAGCATCCCTGGATAATTTTGTCCTTTGTCTCTTTTCATTCACTTTGTGCCTGGTAGGCAATGGTTGCAGCGGCCTGATTTTGGGATCCTTGAACTTTGCCGTTCACCACGAGAAGCAGGGGAGTCTCTACGCGGAGGCCAGAAAAAGTAAAACTCTGAAAAGCAGGAGAAAAAAAGAAAGAAAGAATGAGAGCAAAGAATTTTAGGTAATGTGAGATGTTTTTAAAAAATATCAGTGTAATTATCATTATTTATTTGTTGTTTTTTAAATTTATTTATTTTTATATGCCACCCTTCTCCAGAGACTCAGGGCGGCTTACAATGTGTTAAGCAATAGCCTTCATACTTTTGTATATTTTATACAAAGTCAGCTTATTGCCCCCACAAACCGGGTCCTCATTTTACCCACCTTAGAAAGGATGGAAGGCTGAGTCAACCTTGAGCCTGGTGAGAATTGAACTCGCAGTAATTGCAGGCAGCTGGATGTTAAATGCTGCCTTAGTAGGAGGCATTAGCCTCCTATGCCACTCAGGCTCCTGAGTTACATGCATTTGCTGCCTATCTAACTACAAGTCTACTCTAGGCAGCTTAAATAATAAAAGGAAGAAAAATGAGAAAGTTTGTAAACAGAACTACTCCTTAACTAACAAACCAAAATTCAAGCCAACATTTCCATTGCTAAGCGAGACAGCGGTTAAAAATCATCATCAGCTCTTTTTAATGACCCCATAATCCCTTGTGGGTGGAGTCTGGGCAACTGAATAGAGCAGAGTGTTTACTGGCCAGATGCCCTTGCCAATCCGGAATTTTATTCAGCATATAAATTCTCATTGTTCCCAGAGAAATATCTGCCTCTACCTAGGATCGAACTCACAGCCTCCTGATTGTGAGGCGAGAGCTCTACCACTAGGCTACTGCACCATTCTCAGTTAAAGATAAGATAACCTTTATTGTCATTTTTTACTGTGGGCACATCAGCACATATTAACAAATGAAATTCTGCTGCTTGCTCTCAAATGTTTACACATACACACACATATAAATATGCTATATACATACATATATACATACATACAGTGTCTCTCTGTTGAGCCAGCCTACTCGCATTTTACAACTTTTCTTGCACAATGAATCATTGCAGTTGTTAAATTAGTAATCCAGTTGTTAAGTGACTCTGCCTTTCCCATTGACTTTGCTGGCTTAGATATAGCACTGTTCCAATATCTAAGCGGCTACTACAAAGGAAAGGGCAACCTAATCTTCAAAGCACCTGAAGGTAGGACAAGAAGCAAGGGATGGAAACTACGGTAATAGGGGAGAGAAGCAATCTAAGGAGAAATATCCTGACAGTTAGAACAATTAATAATTGGAAGAACTTCCCTCCAGAAGTTGTGAATGCTCCAACACTGGAAGTTTTTAAGAAGAGATTGGGCAACCATATGTCTAAAATAGTAAAGGGCTTCTTGCCTGAGTGTTCTGCCCCAGCTACGGACCCCAAAGAACACAGCACACACAAAGTCTATACCAAACTTAAATTTACTAAAATAACTCAGTCTTTTCCAAACAAAGACTGTTAAGAAACTTTCTTAACAGCCTACAAGAAACCAAAGATAATCACAATCTTACTAAAGTTGGCAGAAAGCCCAGAAGCAATTTGCAGAAAATTCAGACGCGAAGGAGAATGAACTAAAGTTGTTCCTGACAAATTGCTTCAGTCAGCGTTCTTCCTTAAATAGGCTAAGGGAGTGGCCAATTAGCCCCAAACCTTACTCTTGAGGAGACCTCATCCTGAGGAGCCACTCCTGCCTTTTGGCAGCTCTGCACGCCCGTGCATTGAGAAGAGGCTCCTCCTCTTCCTCCTCTTCACTTAAGGGAGCTTCTGGAGGTTCTGAAGGCCCTGGCTGAATCCCCGCCTTTGGCACCACATCTTCTCCAGCCTCCTCACTGTCCCGCTCGAGCGCCACCTGCACAGGCTGCTGGCGCAGCACCACACCAGCCTCCTCGCTGTCGGAATCAGCTACAATCCACATAGGCCGCTGACGGGCCACAACAAGCAGAGAGTTGGACCAGAAGACTTCCAAGGTCCCTTCCAACTCTGTTATTCTGTACCAATAAAGGAGAATATTTGTAGCTCAGGACTGAAATGAAGGGTCCTTGGTGCTCTCTGAGCTTGCTTGTTTCCTTGCAGATGTTTCATTACGCAAACTGGGTGACATCATCAGTGCTCGATAACACTGATGATGTTACCTAGTTAGGTTAATGAAACATCTGCAAGAAAACAAGCAAGCTCAGAGAGCACCAAGGACCCCTCTGTTATTCTGTTATGTTATTCTGTAGGACGATCGCAGAAGGTGATCACATGACACCCCCCGAGGACATTGCAGCCTTCATAAATATGAATCAATTGCCAAGCCTCTGAATTTTGATCTCATCGATCACGGGGATCCTGCAATGGTTGTTAAGTTTGAAAAATGGTCGTAAGTCACTTTTTTTCAGTGCCGTTCTAACTTTGAATAGTCATTAAATGAACTGTTGTAAATCGATTTTACTAACTGTAAAACCACAGATGGGGACTGCAGCCAAGAAATTAAAAGACGCTTGCTCCTGGGAAGGAAAGCTACAGCAAAGGTAGACAGCATACTAAAATGCAGAGACATCACCCTGCCAACAAAGGTGCGTAGAGTCAAGGCGATGGTTTTCCCAGTTGCAATGTATGGCTGTGAAAGTTGGACCATAAGGAAGGCTGAGTGCCAAAGAATTGAGGCCTTTGAACTCTGGTGCTGGAAAAGACTCCTGTGAGTCCCTTGGACTGCAAGGCGATCAAACCGGTCAGTCCTAGAGGAGATCAACCCTGACTGCTCTTTAGAAGGCCAGATCCTGAAGATGAAACTCAAATAATTTAGCCACCTAATGAGAAGGAAGGACTCCCAGCCTAATGCTGGGAACGATTGAGGGCAAAAGAAGAAAGGGACGGCAGAGAATGAGGTGGCTGGATGGAGTCACTGAAGCAGTAGGTGTGAGCTAAAATGGACTCCAGAGGACAGGAAGGTCTGGAGGAACATTGTCCATGGGGTTGCGATGGGTCAGACACGACTTCGCAACTAACAACAACAAAAAAGTTGTAAAACAATAGAACTATAAGATAAATAATGACAAAGGAACAATCATAGCTGGCTTACAAAGATACTTTCCCTTGGAACATTTTTCTCCCAATAACAAGCAGGAGAATCATCACAAAACCTACTGATACAAAGTGATGAAGAAAATGAAAACTCACCTATCCTGGTCTTTCTGTCTCTTGTTTTCAAGTGAATATTTCCAATACTCTTCCATTTAAATACAAGTAGTCCTCAAACTTACAACCCTTCATTTAGTGACTATTCAAAGTTACAAGGGCACTGAAAAGAAAAATGACTAGTGACCAGTCCTTGCATTTAAAATTGTTGCAACATTCCCCCATGGTCACGTCATCAAAATTCAGGTGCTTTGGCAACCAGTGTGCATTTTTAGGACAGTTGCAGGATCCTGGGATCACGTGATCACCATTTGTAATCTCCGCAGCCAGCTTCCAACAAGCAAAGTCCATGCAGGAAGCTGGATTCACTAAGCAGCTGCATGATTCATTGATTCATTTAATGACTATGGTAAAAAAAAAAAGAAAGTTGTAAAATAGGCATGGCTCATTTAAAAATTGCCTTGTTTATCATCGGAAATTCTGGCCCTAATTGTGGCCATAAATTGAAGACTGGTAATTCCACGTTGCCCATTACAAGTTTTAGATTATTTGTGGAAGGCTCTGATTAAGTTTGAGCCTTTGAACCTTGGTAGTACAGGGGTTTAAGGCACCCTGTTATTAAGCTTATTAAGACCAGCTGCCTGCAATTACTGCAGGGTTCGAATCTCGCCAAGGCTCAAGGTTGACTCAGCCTTCCATCCTTTCTAAGGTAGGTGAAATGAGGACCCAGTTGTGGGGGCAATAAGCTGACTTTGTATAAATATACAAAAGGATGAAGGCTATTGCTGAGCACATTGTAAGCCGCCCTGAGTCTTCGGAGAAGGGCGGCATATAAATCAAATTTAAAAAAAAAAAAAAAAAGTTTGAACATTATTCCCGGCATGACATTGGACAGAAAAAAAGGGAGAATTGGGAATCGACTCACTTTGTTCTGGTGTTGGATGTGATGGTGCCGAAGGTGAGGTTCAGGGATGGCCACCGAGTCCCCAATTAGGACCCCCCAGCTTTCGGCCATGTTGTAAACAGTGACGGCAAAACAAGGGCCTTCGAGAGAGTCCATCAATCCAAAGGTGCTATTGGAGAACAGAAAAATTGAAATCAATTAATGATTGCCCAGTTGCAGAATTTAAGCCAGATGTATTCAATACAGATGTAGCATGGAATATACACTATGCATTTCAGAGGTTACTAAGTCATAGTTTCTGGTCATATTTTCTGACTTCTTTAATTAAAAAAAAGGCAATATCTATGTTTATTGCTTACTGGAAACCCCTTATGCATAAAACATAAAATAAACTTAGGATGTACCATATTTTTCAGAGTATAAGATGCACCCCCCCCCAAAAGAGGGTGAAAATTTGGGCGTGTCTTATATACCAAATGTAGCCACAAACGTGAGGCACAGAGGCAGCCATGGTCTGTGGCAATCCCTGCAGCCTGGAACAGCTGATTGGGGGTATTCTGGGATGCCGATCCCCCCACCAATCAGCTGCTCGTGCTGAATCAGGATGCAATAACGTGCTGAAACTGACCTTGCTGTTTGCTATTTGCTGCAAGGACTCAGAGTTTGCTGCAGCAATCACATCCAGAAAGCACACACAAGTAACTGATTCTGCAGGATTCAATGACTTCTCTTTATATATAATATAACACATGAAGTAAATATACAATACCAAAAGCAGGTTTTCCAATGTGATAGTAAATATAAGCAAAACACAAGCAGAGGAGAGGAGTTTCAGTTTCAGTTTTGAGCAGCAGACTAGTTTAGACTAGTTTAGCACAGACTCAGAGCTGCAGAGCTAAGGCACGCCCAGGCTCCTTGCTGTCTCCTTCCTTGTTGTCACACAGCAAATACTGTTTGTTTCCAAACAGCCCTCAACTCTCTCACACACTGACAGGATGCTAGCCAGATGAATATCGATGGATGCTGGTAGGCAGAGGCAGAATTTTGTTTTTTTTATTTTCCTCCCCAAAAACTAAGGTGCATCTTATACTCCGGAGTGTCTTATACTCCAAAAAATATGGGTATTATCCATTTTATGCCTAAAGTCCATAAGGGGTTTCCAGTGAGCAATAAACATAGATACTGATCAAAGAAGTCAGAAATTATGATCAAGCCAAGTCCAAAAATGCTTGGGAATTTCTAGTACTCTGACAAATTAGCTATCAATAGACACGTAGACATAAACAGTATCTATATACTATGCAGAAGAGACAAGAGACAATCAACAAACCAAAAAAGGAACAAAAAGACCAAAGCACCTTCCTGCCAGCAGGAAGGAGCATTAAATTAACTCGAATATTAACGCAAAACCAACAATCAAGTAAACAATATCCAAATGAAGGAACTGCCAAACAAGCCAACAGTAAACAGCCCAACCAAAGAACCTCTAAGACCATCCCCACCAACACTGACAAAGCATGATGCTAGAATATAAACTGAGAGCAAATCCCATTTTTACTAGCACTGATGAGGTTACCTAGTTTGGTAATGAAACATCTGCAAGAAAACAACCAAGTTCAGAGAATACCAAGGACCCCTTCAAAGAAGTCAATTTAGCCATCTCAGCAAGTTCTGTCATCTTCACCAACCACTCTTCCATTTAGGGTAGTCCAAATCTTTCCATCTTTGTACAATATATAAAAATATATTATGCAATAATTTTGCTACAGTTGTCATACAGAAAAACAAAATTCCACAATTTTTTTTTGCAACTGTTTGTCCATCAATCCCACAAGAGAAAAGAAAAACAACTCTGGTCTCAACTTGCATATTAATCTTTAAAATACTCTGAATCACTAGAAGCTGTGGCTGCCATCTTCAGAAGGAAAATGATGCTGCCTCTGGTCTACTTTGCTCCTTAGACGCCAGTCACAGTTCTCCAGCTCAGGGATGGGCAACTATGGCACCTTTATGACTTATGTACCTCTCAACACTCAGAATTCCTGAGCCAGCCATGCCAGCCAGAATTCTGGGAGTTGAAGTCCACAGGTCAATGCTGGCTTAGGAATTCTAGGAGTTGAAGTCCAAATGTCATAAGGTGGCCATAGTTGCCCTCCCTTCTTCTAGACCAGTGACGGTGAACCTATGGCATGTGTGCTGGAAGTGGCACACAGAGCCATCTCTCCAGGCACGCCAGCCGTTGCCTGTTGCTCTTCCGGGTTCCGGGGCGTACACGCGCACTGGCCAGTTGGCCTTTGCACACGCGGGATTGCCGGAAACCAAAAGACCAGGTGACCGGCATGTGCGCCGGGGAACTGCTCTTCCTGTTTCCAGCGCTCCCCAGCGCATGCGTGCATGCTCCCGTTTCGGCACTCAGTGCTGAAAACAGAGGTAGGTTTCAGCAGGTTCTGACCAGTTCTGGAGAACCGGCAGCGGAAATTTTGAGTAGTTCGGCGAACCGGTAGTAAAAAATTCTGACTGGCCCTACCCCCATCTATTCTCTGCCTCCCAAGTCCCAGTTGATCTGGAGGAAATGGAGATGTTGCAGTAACCTTCCCCTACCACGCCCACCAAGCCACGTCCACCAAGCAATGCCACGTCCACCAAGCTACCCCCGGATGTAGAACCGGATGTAAAAAATTTGAAACCCACCACTGGCTGAAAAAGATTCACCAACACTGCTCTAGACCAAGGTCACTAAATCCTCAAATTCAATGCTGCCTAATAGACATAGGCTGTGAAAGCCAACACCAGACGTTGGTGATATTAAGGCAAACAATGTTCAGAACAAAATTCAATACTCACAAAGGCACTTTTTCCTCAGTAGTCAGGCTGAACAACACCTTCCCCAAGATCACAGCACCCGTGTTAACACCAGGTTGCAAGGCACTGAGGGATCGTCTCTGTAGTTCTACCTTCTGACCTGAAGGCCCTTGATAATGTCCATCACCACAAGGGCCCAGGTGGGAGGGTCGCAGGCTTCCCAACATGCTTTGCAGCTTCTTGCCTTTCACTTTGCCCTAGGAAAGGAAAGAAGAAGAAATAAGACTTGTTGGCAGATGCGCCATTACCTAATATGGACAGAGGACAAAAAAAAAAAAGAAATCCCAAGCCTTGCCACCACAATACCTTGTTTTCAAGGAGTCCAGTTAGTCTCTCAAGGAAATCCATGAGTTGCTGCTCCCGGTGTCGAGGTTCTAGCCAAGCTGGGTCAAGGGCTACGGCTCGTGCGAAACCCTCCAGGGCTTCCATGTAGTTTTCTTCATACTTAGAAAGCTGAGCAAAAATCATGTTAAAAACAATGGATTACAATTTGGGGTCAAAGTGATGCCTGTCTCTAGGATCCAAAAACTCAGCATCCTCGTCCTAATAGCATCCTAATAGCTTCCAAGTCCAAATCAAATCAGCAGGTGATGTCATGTCCAAATACTGAGCTATTAGAACAAAGATCCACCCCTCCAAAATAAATAAATAAATAAATAAAGATTTTACAATCAACAGGTTAGCCAATAGCCTTGGATTACATTACATTTAGGAGTCACCAACTATGATCCTAAAGCTTTTCTTGATGGATCACTTATACATTAGCCAACTTTATGTTGCCTTCTCTATTCCATTTCCTTACCGTGGCTCGATTGAGATGCAAATCTGGATTACAAGAAGCAGTGGAGTCCACCTTTTCCTATTACAAATAAATAAATAAATAAATATAAAATATGCACAATCAGCACTGCCAGGTAGTTAAAGAACAAATTCATTCGAACCTATTCTCTTCTTTTGTGTCAGCCTATTCTCCAAAGTATCTGAAGGCAGAACAAAAAGCAATGGATGGAGACTAATCAAGGAGAGAAGCAACCTAGAACTAAGGAGGAATTTCCTGACAGTCAGAACAATTAACCAACGAAACAGCTTTGCCTTCAGAAGTTGTGGTGTTCCATTACTGGAAGTTTTTAAGAAGAGATTGGACAGCCTTTTGTCTGAAATGGTCTCCTGCTTGAGCAAGGGGTTAGACTAGAAGGCCTTCAAGGTCCTTTTCAGCTCTATTATTCTGTTATCCCAAAACATTCATTCATTCTTATTTACACCTACCTCAACCAAAAACTATGAGTAGGTATCAACAGCCATTTTATATTAGTGGCCAAAATTGTGGAAACCGTTTGGGGAAATTGTATTTTTGAGGTTTGATGTCTAATAATACCACTTTTTTTTTTAGTAGTCCCATAAAATTATATATCAATGGAAAGATAATTTAATCAAGAATGTAATGCAACAAAGCTTGTCCAATTATCTGTATTCTATGAAAAGTTATAGCCAAATAACCAGAAAAAGGAAGCACAACTTGCTTAGGTTGATATCCAGGTAGCTTTCCTTCATCTGATTGTAGCCAATGAGCATGAGTGTTTAGAGAGCCAATCAGGTGTCATCTTGTTTTGACAATGAGCCAATCAGATCACAGTAGGCGTCAGTTATTGATGTCACGTATTGAAGCTGAGAGGAGGACATTTGTCAGTGTGTTATGTGATCGCTATAAAGTTGGTTGGGGGGTTTTTTTTTGCGTTCTTTCATTTAATGATCTTGTAAAACGTAATAAAATTAAAATAATGGTGCAAAGAGTTGACTGGTTGCCAAGAAAGCTATGTAAAATAGTATTAAGTGAACAAGGCTACAGTTATAAAGGAATTAGAAGAAAAGTTGGTGGAAACTTAACCAAAGGTGGCATTTCTTTGAAGAGGTATAAGGAGACTTAGTCACTACAAAACCACACTGGTAAATGTAGGAAAAGGTGCACAGCAGCAAGTGATGATAGAAGAATTAAGAGACTGTGCCTACGTGACAGAAGAAAATCATCTGGGTGTATACTAGATGAAATGGTGCAACACAGTGTGAAGTTGAGTGCAAAGACTGTTTGGCGAAGACTGCAGGAATTTGGTCTAAAATCTAGAATTCCACAAAAAAACCACTTTTATCTCTCAAACAAAGGTTGGAAAGCCTGACATTCTTGATTAAATTATCTTTCCATGGATATATAATTTTACGGTACTACTCAAAAAAAAGATGATGATGTTATTAGCCATCAAATCTCAAAAATACACTTTTCCCAAAAGGTTTCCACAATTTTGGCCACTTCTGTATATAAGATAATTAGATAAGATAAGATAATTTTATTTCTATACCGCTCCTCTCCCGAAGGACTTGGGGCGGTGCACAGCCAAGTAAAAACACAATACAAACATCATAATTAAATTTAAAAATTATTAAAATTCTTACATTTGCGGCCGAAATTCATTAAAAACCCAAAAATTTAAAAACTCCAAATTTAAAACTCCATTGCAAAGATAGCCCTGCCTGTCAAAAGAGCAGGATCTTGAGGGCACAGCGAAAAACTCGGAGGTCAGAGTATGTGCGTATTTCCGGGGGCAGTTCGTTCCAAAGGGCAGGGGCTCCCAGAGAAGGCTCTCCCCCTGGGTGTCGCCAGCCGACATAATTTGGCGACAGCACCCTGAGGTGCAAGAATATAGCAAGAAAGAACCCATGAATTCTTAATTTAAAATGTGATCAATTGGATTCATCTTTGCAACAATTAAACTTGAAGTTTTCCAATGAAGTCAAAAGAATGGGGTTTTTTTCCCCAAACCAAATTACAGGTAGTCCTTGACGTATGACTGGTTACTTAGTGACCATTTGAAGGCACAACAGACCCCTTTCCCATGCATTATAATCCTGTGTTATTCCCTCCCCTATCAAGTAAATGGACATTTTATAAAATCTCTCGTATTATATGAATTCATAAGAATGTCATTATCAAGCGAGAATCACATTAGAAATACATTCCTAAGGGAACTGTAGTCTATTCTAAACTCCAGAATATCATCACTTCCCATCTCAAAATAAAATGGTTTATTAGGGATTAAGGACTTGACAATCACGAATATTTCTGCAATGCTTGTGAAAAATCTATTTTACTGCTACTGAATTAATGGAATATGAATAACACAGTATTGCAAATCTTATTTTATCAATAACTCTTTAGGCCTCTTACAGCAAAAAGGAAGTCTGGACAACTAGAAGATAATGCATACTATACAACACAATGAGTTAACAGAATCTTATGCATTTTAAAATATTGTTCCAATTCCATCCTCCTCACAAGTGCAAAACTGGTGCCATTAAATAAAAGTTCTAGCCAGATAAATCCAGAATGTAAATTCTTTACTTGCAAAGAAAGCTGTGTTCATAAATAATTTTCTCCCTAACCACAGCCTACAGTTCCATGGTGCATTTTATTATTTCTAGACACTGTCATTCATTCATACATATATATATTGGTAGACAAGATGTAAGAATATACAATTAGGAGAAGAAAAGGTAGGTCTTGGCTTATAACCAGCCACTTAGCAACTTCAAAATGAGGATGGACCTCTCCAAACCTACTTACAGTCTGAATCTGAAGTTTCAACAGCAATCCCCTGCGGTCACGCGATTGTATTTTCAGGGCTCGGCAACAAGCCAGATTTACAGCTGTTTGCAGCATCCTCTAATCATGTGACCATGATTTACGATGCTTCCAGTTTTCCACAGAAACACCCATTGCGGACAATGGTTTCGCTTAACAATAGCAATAATAACAACACTTAGACTTATATACTGCTGCACACAGTGTAATCAGCCCTCTGATTACAGAGTCAGCATACTGCCCCTCCACACAACAGTCCGGGTCCTCAAATTAAGAATCTTGGAAGGATGGAAAGCTGAATCAACCTTGAGCCGGGTCAGGATCGAACTTCTGGCTATGGGCAGAGTTAACCTGCAATATTGCTGCATTCTAACCACTGTACCATTATGACTCTCATTTAAAGATCACTGCATTCATTTAATTACCACCACAAAAAACTTGCAAAATCAGGTTTGGTCACATGGCGCCCTGCTTAACAACTGATATGAATTTACAACCGTAATTCCGGGCTGAATTATGGTCGTAAGTCAAGGACTACCTGTAATGTATATTCTGGTAGAAAAGTCAGAATTTGAATTCGAATCTTCCAATATCCATACTAACTGCCACACAGAATTTACTCTTCTCACCTGGCCATCTAGAGCAGGGGGTCCCCAACCCCCCCATAGTGGCCCACTCCTGGGCCATGACCCATTCGGAACCGGGCTGCAGGAGTGGCGGATGAACAAGTGCACACGTGAAACTCCACTTGCGTGAGCAATGAGCAAGTGTACATGCACACACTTTATTTGTGATCACATAAATGGAGTTACATACCCATGTGTGCTCACCCACCACTCGCGCATAGCCAATCCCCCTCCCTCACTCCCTGCTAGTCCGCAAAGCCAGAAAAGTTGGGGAATCGCTGCTCTAGAATTATACTAGAGAGGCTTAACTTGAATCACCATCCCTTCCTCCCCATACCACAGTTTTGTCTCAGGTTCCCCTCCAGCACTTACTGCTTGTGCATAGGCATTCAGTGCTTGCTGGGAGATCTTGGGGTTCTGCCCTGTATTGAAGAACAAGGAGATGTAGGCATTGCCCAGCACATCTGTGGAATGCAGAAAACAAAATTAGCCAGTTGCATATCCCATTCCCTTTTCTGCCTCTATCCCCTGCTTAGGCTATGTTGTAGTTTGTCGACTGACAGCTCCAAAGAATCAGATGAGTTTGAGGAGATAGAGGGAGTATCTGGATTACCAGAGTCAGAAGAGTCTGAGGAGATGGAAGGAGTGTCTGGGTTACCAGAGTCAGAGAAGTCTGAAGAGATGGAGGGAGTATCTGGATTACCAGAGTCAGATGAGTCTGAGGAGATGGAGGGAGTGCCTGGCCGGGGCCTCCGGAAGGTTTTGAGGAGCAGGACGACTCAGAGCCAGAGGCAGGCAGGGCCCCTCTACTCACACTCAGGCTAAGAGACAGCTGCTTTTGAGGCCTGAGCTGAGCGACGGGGAGGAACAGCTGGGGCCTATCCCAAATGTGCATATGCGCAGAGTAGTGCGGACAGGAAAGCAATGTAACTATCCGGGAAATTGACATTGACAAGCCCCTCCCTGGCTGGGATAAGGAAGAGGGGTGTGGGAGGCGCGGTTGTTGGAAACAATTGTTCATGCTCCAGGAGAGTTCCCTCTGGCGGATTCCTTTGCCAGGATTTCTTGCTACTACCCAGGTTGCGGGGATTGAAATGCTAATTGAGGCTCCCTGCAGGGAACTCAAGAGACTGCTAAAGATGTGTGACCTGGAGCTTTGTCAGTGAATGCCGTGTATTCCTGCCTTTCTAAATAAAAAGGATTTCTCCTCACGAGTAGCACCATTTGAGTGGTGCTTGTGAAGGCTGGGTCAGAACAGGCTAATAGATTGTATAGTAAAACTCACACCAAGAGCGTCCATCGCGCACATCCATCTGCACGGCCAGCTTGGCTTGCCGCACGCTGTCCATCACGTTTTGTGCATGTTCATCGGGAGAAGTGGTGCGCAGCTGCCGTAACACCATGGAGAGGTTCTGCAAGGAAACTTTGTTCTTACGCTGAGAGGGTAGAAAGGGAAAATAAGTTTGGCTGCAGGACGAGATTTCTGTATAAAACGAGAACTTTTAATAAATACTCCAAATACAAGCAGTGCTCTATTTACCATTCATTTAGCAATTGTTTGAAATTACAGAGCATTGGGGGAAAAATGGCTTATGACCCCATCCTCGCATTTACAACCGCTACATCCGCATTGTCACGTGATCAAAATTCAAGCACTTGGCAACTGGCATGTAATTACAATGCAGGTAAATCCCTCATTTTAGGACCGCAATTGAGCCCCAAATCTCTGTTGCAAAGGGAAACATTGGCAAAGTGAGTTTTGTCCCATTTCGCGACAGTTTCTTACCACAGTGGTTAAGTAATTCACTGCAGTTGTTAAATTAGTTACACGGTTGTTAAATGAATCTGACTTCCCCATTGATTTTGCTTGTCAGAACCTTGCAACCTCCAGGACACTGCAACTGTCATAAATATGAACTAGTCGCCAAGCATTTGAATTTTGATCATGTGACCAAGGGGAGGGTACAACGGTCATAAGTGGAAAAATGGTCATAAGTCACTTTTTTCAATGGCCTTGTAACTTTGAATGGTCACTAAATGAACTGTTGTGAGCAGTGCGGTGGCCTAGAGGCAGAGTTCTTGCCTCACAATCAGGAGGCGGTGAGTTCGATCCTAGGTAGATTTTTCTCTCTGCGCACAATGAGACTACTGCAAACTCCGCATTGGTGACAGAAACGGCATCTGGCCAGTAAACACTCAGCTCCATCCAGTTGCCCCAACTCCACCCCGCAAGGGATTATGGGGTCATTAAAGGACTAAATGAACTGTTATAAGCCGAGGACTACCTGTAGTTGTAGCATCCTGGGGTCATGTGGTTGCCATTTGCAACATTCCCAACCAGCTTCCAACAAGCAAGTCAGTGGGGGAAGTTGGATTGTCACATGATTCACTTAACATTGTTAACTTAACACTACAGCGATTTGCTTAGGAACGATGGCAAGAAAGGTTACAAAATTTGGTGTGACTCATTTAACGATCACCATGGTTAGCAATGGAAATTCTGGTCTCGATCCTGGTCCTAAATTGGGGACTACTATCCATGTTTACCCAAATTATTGTTTGCAACAAAAATAGTCCTAGATTTGCAACCAACTCTCCGAAGTTACAACAGCAATGGAAAAAGTGACCTATACTTATGACCATCATAACATCCCCGTCACATGATCAAAACTCGGATGCTTGGCAACTGGTTCCTATTTATGATGGTTCCAATGTACTGCGGTCACATGATTCCCTTTTGCGATCTTCTACCAAGCAAAGTCAATGGGAAAGTCGGATTCACTTAACAACCGTGTTATTAACTGAACAACTGCAGTGATTCACAGCAACTGTGAAAAGCAAGGTGTTAAAACGGGGTAAAATTCACTTAATCATTGCCTTGCTTAGCAACAGAGGTTTGGGGCTAATCGTAGTCATAAACCGAGGACTTCCTGTATTTTTTTCTCTAAAAGGTATTTTATTTGATCTACAGAATAGCAATAGCAATAGCACTTAGACTTATACACCGCTTCACAGTGCTTTCTAGCCCTCTCTAAGTGGTTTACAAAGTCAGCCTATTGCCCCCAACAATCTGGGTCCTCATTTTACCCACCTCGGAAGGATGGAAGGCTGAGTCAACCTTGAGCCTGGTGAGATTTGAACTGTAAATTGCAGGCAGCCGGCAGGCAGCAGAAGTAGCCTGCAGTACTGCATTTTAACCACTGCGCCACCACGGCTGTAAGGTCTTGCCTGTCCAATCTTCCCAAGAAAGCAGGACTCTTGAAACTGCAGTGGTTCCAAAAGGAGCTTTTATCGGAAGAGATCTAGGCAAGAACTGAAGCTTCTCATTTAAAACCAGCTATTTAAAGCAATGCTAACCAAACCCCTCCCACACTACATCATTGCAGGGAAACAGAAACAGAGATTTCATATAGAGGTTAGCCCAGTAATGCAGGAAACAGAAACTTCATATACAGACCACTCCATTCCTCCCTCCCCCCTCCTCTCACCAAAATGCCAGCATCCCTGTAGAAATATATGGGACTTGACAGCGGCTCTTATGCCATTAGAACAGCCAGAGGTTTACAAACAATCCTTCCTACAAACATAAAAGAACAATTTGATAGCAGAGAACTTAGGGGGAACCTTACATGGCTGAGCGCTCCGGAGAAGCAAGTATGGGCTGCAGAAACATCACCCTTTTTCCAGTAAACCTCGCCTAATTGATTCCACGCCTCCACCAATTCCGGATCCAGCTTGACTGCTTTGGAAAGCAATTCTTCTGCCTGGGCATTATAGTCTGCTGATACATTCAAAGCTTTCCCTTTAAGCATAAAAATGTAAGCTCTCCTTTCTGATAAACCTAGTAGAAGTGGAGGAGAAAGAGATAAATTCCATCCATATGTTATTGTCCAAAAAAGAAACAAAAACATAAAAAGTCCACCTAATATTGAGCTGTAAGTAACCATACATTTCTTTTTGCTAGTTCTTTTTTTCTCTTCCATTTACTGTTCAACTACAGATTAACAAATTAACAGGGTTGGAAGGGACCTTATAGGTCATCTTGTACAACCCCCCCACACAAGCAGGAGACCCTACACCATTTCTGACAGAGGGCAGTCCAGTCTCTTCTTGAAAGCTTTCAGCAATGAAGCTCCCACAACTTCCGAAGGCAACTTCTGTTCCATTGGTTGATTGTTCTCACTGTCAGAAAACTTATCCTTATTTCTAGGTTGAATCTCTCCTTGATCATCCATTATTATAAATATTATCTCACTGATATAATTCGATATAAAAACCATACAACTAGCAATTGATATACACTATCTTCAGATCACCATCTTGATTTAAATTCCAGATATAAACTCTCATGGTTTTTATTTTATCAACCAATAGGCTGACACAAAGAGTCCTCACATAACAAGCACAATTGGGACCCGCAACTCCGTCATTAAGTGATACATCTGAGCGAAGTTCAACTGCACCGGAGTTACATCCGTTCCACTGTGATCATTACATCGTATGAATCACATTACGTGACATCACATGACCACAAATTGCAACTTCCTGACGGCTTCCCCATTGACGTTGCTTGTTGGAAGCTGTTTGTGAAGGTCTGAATACTTCTGCCAATGTGATATTTCAGGTTTTTTTAAAAAAATAAATTTACAGACATTTCTAAAATTCTGCTTTCACTTTTTCTCCCAAGGTACCAAGTGTAGATTAATGAGAAAAAAAATGAATTTCAACAACTGTAGAATCAGGCTGCAGACTTCTGGTAGCCAAATAATGAAGAATCGCAATATCAAAATGCTGAAATGAGTACAATTTTGGTATCTGGGATTGGATGTTTTGGGGGGAAGGATTATACTACAATTATTTGTCAGATCTACTTGTGTCAAGTGTAAAAAACCAGGACCATTCGTGTAGACTGCTGCATAAATGATTTATTTATTTATTTATTTATTGAAGCCTTCAGATAATTCTACTGTCCTTTTCAATACCTTAAAATTCATGTCCTAAACGTCGATGAAGTAAATGTATACATTCATCATGTGGCTTCTTATTATCATAAACCGAGTTAGTATTAGCCACATTAGGAAACATAATTTGTTTCATCCAACCGGATCAAGGATATGCTTGATGACTGTTCTTGTGCCATCTTGACTTGGATAATAAATAACAAACACAGCTGTCTGAATATAGTACTGTATATTCACGCCCACTCTCAGTGTTCTGGGCCCATAACCAATGTTAAGGATATTCTTGGCTCATAACCGATGTTGTGGGTTATTGAAAGAATACCCTTTGAGTAAACGCATCAAAAGCAACTGAGAATAATTGTGGATAATAACAGTTCACATACAAACAAACTCGGTTAGGGTAATATTTTACTTTTAGGGAAAAAGCAAAATCATAGTCCAAAAACATTCCAAGTCATACACATAAAATGAGATAAAGATCAGTTCAGGGATATTTTCCAATATAAAGTCTTCGTACTAGTTGTAGAAAAATACAATAAAACAGATCTTCTTTAGTTTCATTCAGGAACACAGTTCAATATAAAAACAGTCAATAAATATTAGAAAACAACATGTAGCTATGATCAAACAGTGATCATGCAGAAAGATCAGGTAGAGAGTTACAGCAAATAAGCAGGCAAAATGGTGTAGTATCCATACAAGCCATGATCCTGACTTACCTTAAGTACATTGGCTACAGAGCTCAGCCAATCAGGATGCAGGATGATGCAATACAGTTTTTAAAGCTACATACTACTTTTAGCTACAAACACACAATGTTGGTTTATATATTTCCTGACCAACCAGTTGGGTAATAACAATTTCCTAACAAAGCCTATACATCAGAATCTGGTCAACTAACAGTCAACACTAAATTGGCACTAGATAAGGGTCAATGGAATTCAAGGAGAGCTGGATTTGGATCTTTTGAGACAACGCAAAGATTCTAAACTGATGATGCGTTTAACTCCGCCCCCAACTCTGCCTGCTCTGTTCCTACAACTTCCCCTTTTCTCAAGGTACTAAACCAGAGGTGTCAAACTCGTGGCCCGCGAGCCAGATGCGTCAAGCCCTGGCCACGCCCACCCATTTTAGAGACAGGGAAAAAGTCGTGATATGTCATGTGATGACATGACGATGCGAGTTTGACACCCCTGTACATTTTCAATTCTATGAATGCATCCATGGTAAGTGGATAACTGGGATACATAAGTATATTTGGGGGGATCTAGTAATGAAACAAAACAGATGCCTTAAAATGGAGATATGGAAAGTCATCTGTGACTTACCATCTATGGCTTCCATTTTTTGAAGAGTCTTCTTCATCTCTTCCTGAACATCCTGTTGTTTTTTTCCAGCATCTTCCACACTGTGATTCTCAAAATAATGATCTCGGAAATGATACAAGTGGTCAACCAATTCCTATTCATAAATGGATAAATACTATCAGATCTCCCAATAAGGATCTCTTACCGATACAAAGTACACTGACATTTGCGATGCAATTACCAAACTGGCAAACCCAGGTTGCATACAAACTAAACTAAACATTCATCAATATCTAAGCTAAAATGTAATTGCCCAATTCGAAATTTATTGCGTCCATTCCGTACAAACCTGGCAGCACCACCGATAACATGCCTATCACTATGCTGACTTAGTAACAGATAAAATAAATACATACGGTATGAAAATTCAAAATACAATCCGGTAAATCTAAATTTAATGTTCCTTACTCAGTCAAGCATAAATCTTTATGAGAAAGGAAAAAAGTTAATTTAAACTATACTCTGCAGCACAGAACCACTATTTTTAGGTAACAAAACCAACCAGCATTTAACCTCTTCATGAGACATCCACAAATTATAAACCAGAAATCTTTTGATCCCAAAGATAGCCAGGTTTGAAACGATGGCTCACTCTGAACGCAGCAATTAAGAGTAGATTTCTCGGATAATTCTATCATCTTGGGAATCAAAGAAAAACCTAGTAAGATCACACCCTTACCTTGCAAGTAAAGCAGGAGGGGGATACACACACTTTGCCAATCCCTTTCTACGCCTATATCAACTTCTAATCACTCCCACCCATCCAGCTCTGGCTACTTTATCCACACTGCCTAAATTTACTAATCCAGATAAAGGGATAAATGGCGTCAATCGCCCGTCAAAAGCAGAAACTCTTGCCAGGTGCTTTTTTTTGCTCGTCCGCGGCTTTTTAAAACGCAGTTTAGCTTTGCGCGCCCAGCGACCCTTTGGTTACTTTTACCTGCCTGCGTAAATTCGGGAAAGCTTTGCTCCATCCCTTCCCCAGAACAGAGGCGGGGGCATTTTTATTATTGTTATTATTATTTCAAGCGCGGTTTTAAAACGCAGAGGGCAGAATAGCCTCTTTTTAGCCGTCGTTATACCTGCAGACGTTGCCGGGCTGGCGAGTTTTCTTCTTCGTCCTCGGCCATGATCGCTGCAGCCTCCGCCCTCCCTTTTCCTGCTTTTCTCCCCCCACTTGCTCAGCCTTGCAAGCACGGAGGAAGGTAGAGGCCTCTAAAGGCTCGGAGGACTCGGAGCAGACCAATCGGAGCGGAGAGGAGGGAAGAGCCTTTCGCCCTCGCTTTTGGTTTCTTTCTTCTTTTTTTTTTTTCATAAGAAGAATAACAGAGTTGGAAGGGACCTTGGAGGTGGTCTAGTCCGACCCCCTCACCCCTCTCAGGCTAGTTATAACAGCCCTGGAAAAAAGTGACTTACAAATGGTCCTTGTTCATGTCCATGTTCATATTCATACCTGCTGTCTTGTACATGTTTGACAAACAAACAAACGAACAAATAAATAAATAAAATAAAATAAACCATTATTTGATCAAAATTTGAGCGGTTGGCAACCGTGTGTATTTACAAGGGTTGTAACATCCCGGGATCATCTGATCGCCATTTGCTGGCTTCTGAACCAGCAAAGTCAATGGAGGAATCTGGATTTGCTTCATGATGGCATTGATTAACTTAGCAACCATGGCAAAATCCATGACCTACTTTTTCAAATAGAATAAGAATAAGGAAAAGAATGGAATGGGAATAGGAATAGGAATTGGAATTAGAATAGAATGCAGAGTTGGAAGGGGCCTTGGAGGTCTTCTAGTCCAACCCCCTGCTCGGGCAGGAGACCCAATATCATTTCTGACAAATGGTTGTCCAATCTCTTCTTAAAAACCTCCAATGTTGGAGCACTCACAAACTTCTCAAGTGTATTTCTAACCAAGGATTCTGCTTAGACCAGTGTTTCTCAACCTTGGCAGTTTGAGTGGACTTCAACTCCAAAAACTCTTTTTTAAAAAAAATCCATCCCTGGATGTTTTTAAAACGAGATTGGACAGCCATTTGTGTGAAATGGTATAGGGGCTCCTGCTTGAACAAGGGAGTTATTTAATAATCCCTTCAATTAATAAAGTTGGAATTAATAAAGTTGGAATGTAAATAAATACATTAATAAAATTGGAATACAAATAAATATGTTCATCACTTGGAGTTGTTTGTAAAATAATAGAGGTAGGATACAAATATATAAATCCATGTCTCCATATCCATATGCACAGCCCACTCTTGTGAGATTTCATTTTAAGCAGTAAATGCTTTTTATGTACATTTTGACCATCTTAACTTTCCTTTGATCAGGGCGATTCTAGAAATGTAAATACAAAGTGATGTAATGAAATACAGTGAGATCAAGATTTGCATTTACCATAAACCCATTAAAATAAATGGATTTAATAATCCTTACTAATTTAAGGCCCATTTAGGATATTCTACATATTACAATTCAACATAGAGGAAATCATATGGACCATTGTAATCCAATGATCTAATTTATCAAACAGATAAAGTGCTTGAAACAACAATATAAAGAAGTTAATAAAAGGATTCTCCCTTAACATCCAAGGGGTAAAAGAGGAGGAGGAGGAATATTTTTTGATGACCAGAAAAGCAGTTAATGCTTAATCACGAAACACAAAAAGGATATCCACAGATGTTTATACCAATGAAAATGTCCTTGCCTTTTACAAGATTTGGGATAAGTGGTATAAGTGGTTAGAATAGAGAAACAAAAATGTATAGAAATAAATGTACATAACTGTAAGAGACACATGACACAATACTGTTAAAAAATGCTTATTGTTATGTAAATGGGAAAAATGGAAATTAAAAGTTAAAAAAAAGGAAATGTATACATGCAGGTAATATTTTTCCCTCCATATATTTTTATTTACAAGTAGCAATGAACAAAAGAAACATGTAGAAGAAACCTTGCAAATATAATTAGACACTCATCGAAGAAAACATGCTACTTTAAGATGTGAGAATTGAAAACAGTCATCAATGGATTAAAATATTATAACAGATTTGTTAGAATAAGCAATTTGAGCACTAATTAAACTGAATCATAATGCACAATAATTAAATCACTGAGAATGTGTCTGAACTATTGTGTTTACAAGGAGGTTGCTATGTGACACAACAATAACAAGAATGTAACAAACTCATACACCTGTAAACTACAGTAACCCAATATACTATCTAACTGTTCAAAAAATATTGACTTTGCAAGCTGTCCCTCTCTTGCTTTAACATATGACATGGCTTGGAAAATATTTAACATTCACTGATGTAATGAAAAATCTGGTTTCGAGCGTTGAGATTTTGTTTAGTTTGAAACCTCAGAATTGGGTTTTCAGAAGGTTCTGCCATTAAATTGAATTGCACATTAGCATTTACATTCTCTTAATTTTATAAGCTCTGTTGCTTCCTGTGTGGTGTTCATTGTCAGGGGAGGTAAAGGAAAAGAAGCCGTTGGCAGATTCGCCCATGCGTGGAGGGGAGGCAAAGAAGGATTTGAAATGGAAGTCCCCTTCACCACGCTGGCCCTGCATAGGTGTAGTGTTCCTACTGAGCCCGACAGCATTACCTAGAACATGTGAGTGAAAGACATGGTATTAGAAAAGGGCTTAAATTTCCTCCCCTGTAAAAAAAAATGGCAATGTTAGCTACATACATGCCCATAATAAGGGCCAGATTACACTTAGGTCGGAGATCCTTAATCAGAATCTCTCTTTATTTTTAAAGTAAACCATATTAAAAATGGCTTAATATTTTTAAAGTAAACCAAAACAATTGCTACCAACCTGCCTTCCATTGAGGACTTGTATACTGCACGAGTCAAAAAGAGGGTTGTGAAAATATCTACAGACCCCTCACATCCTAGACATAAATTGTTTCAAGTTCTACCCTCAAAATGACGCTATAGAGCACTGCGCACCAGAACAACTAGACACAAGGACAGTTTTTTCCCGAACACCATCACTCTGCTAAACAAATAATTCCCACAATACTGCCAAACTGTTTACTAAGACTGTATTACTATTATTATTCTCATCCTTCCTATTACCTAACCAGCAGTCAGCAGAAGTAGCCTGCAGTACTGCACTTTAACCACTGTGCCACCGCAGCTCAGGAAATGCTTGTGAAGGATCATACTAAAAGTCGCTATTCTTACCCAGAGGGAAACCAAAGACAGCAGGCTGAGGCATCATGGGAGGCTCATGGCCTGCCTCCTGATTGGCCAGAGCAATATTCCGTAATCTCAGGCTGTCATACAAGCCCTGCAGTTTTTGATACTGACGATTACGCTCCATTAGTTTCTCTGATAGCTCGGTGAATTTCTTTTTGTATTCCTCCAATACTTTCTTTAAGGAAGAGACCTCACTCTTAATAGATGTCAGCTCCATATCTTTGCTCTGGAGTTGCTGGGTGTAGACTTTCTCCATCTGCTTCAGATGGCCCTCTGCTTTGCTGTAGGTATATTCTTGATACAAACGCTCTTGATGGACCTACATGAGTATAAAGAATACATACAGGTAGACCTGGCCACAATTGAGCCCAAAATTTATGCTGCTAAGAGAGACATTGGTTAAGTGAGTTTTGCCCCATTTTATGACCTTTCTTGCTAAGTGAATCACTGAAGTTGTTAAATGAGTAACATGGTATTTAGGTGAATTTGGCTTCCCCATTGATTTTGCTTGTCAGAAGTTCGCAAAAGGGAATCACATGGTCTTGGGACATGGCAATGATCATAAATATGAACCAGTTGCCAAGCATCTGGATTTTGATCACATGATTAAGGGGATGCTGCAAAGGTAACTGAAAAATGGACTTAAGTCACGTTTTCTGTGCGGTTGTAACTTTGAACAGTCACTAAGCAAACTGTTGTAAGTCGAGGACTACCTGCAGAAAGGAGTAGGTCTTGAGCAGATTTGGATGAAATTACTTTTGTCGCTCAATACAGCATTCTACATGTCTATGGAGATTCTCAATCCTAAATTGATCGATCTATCTATCATCTGTCTGTCTGTCTATCTATCTATCTAACTATCTATCTATCTATCTATTCCATTTCTAGAATAGAATAGAATTCTTTATTGGCCAAATGTGATTGGACACACAAGGAATTTGTCTTTGGTGTGTATGCTCTCAGTGTACATAAAGAAAAAATAAAATAGATTCGTCAAGAATCATGAGATACAGCACTTAGTGATAGTCATAGGATACTAATAAGCAATCAAATCATACTAGAAAACAATAAAAACAATATAAGTTGTACAGATACAAGCAACATGGATATAGCCATAAGTGGGAAGAGATAGGTACTAGTAAGTACTAGTACTAGTAAAGTAGAAGTACTAGTACTTCTATAGCCACCTATCTCAATCAATGACTCTACCCTGTTTCCCCCAAAATAAGACATCCCCTGATAATAAGCCCAATCGGGCTTTTGAGTGCATGGCAGTAAGGCCAAGCGCTTATTTCAGAGTTCAAAAATATATATATATATAAGACAGGGTCTTATTTTCAGAGAAACACAGTATTTGGTTTACAATTAAAAACAAAAGTGTTTGTCTGTGATTGTGTATTACAATTAAAAATACTGAAAACCTTTTTAAAAAATAAAAATGATAAAAGCATTCAGACTAAATGTACCTAGGAGCAAGATACCCAGCTAGTTTTTAAGTAAAGAATTCTTTCTAACTCAAACTGCTATTACTGGATACAATTTACCTGATATATCCAGAAAGCCAAAGCCCTGGAACTGATATCCAGAATAATTTCTGGGCGCAACCCAGCTAATACCATGGCTTTATATTCCTCTGAAGGACTGAGCTCTGTCCGAACAATATCCAATTTGCCAGACAGGGCACTGGTACAAGCTGGACAGACTGCTGGAGATCGACTGAACTCTCCACTGCCATGTTGGTCACAGAAGATATGTGAGCAGGCCGTGACCCACGCATAGCCTGAAAGTGTGACTCGACACTTGCGATAATTGCAAAGAAGCATATCTTCACAGATAGACATATTGCTGCAGCCAAGGCAAATGTATCACAAAGGATTCCTGTGGAAAAGTTACATAGCATTCATTATACAGTATCGCATTGATAGCAATCAGTTCTGCAGAACCGGTAGTGAAAATTTTGAGTTGTTCGGAGAACTGGTAAATACCACCTCTGACTGGCCCTGTCCCCATCTATTCTCTACTTCCCGAGTCCCAGCTGATCGGGAGGAAATGAGGATTTTGCAATAATCTTACCCTGGAGTGGGGAGGAAATGGAGATTTTACAGTATCCTTCCCCTGAAGTGGGGTGGGAATGGAGATTTTACAATATCCTTCCCCTGCCATGCCCACCAAGCCATGCCACACCCACCAAGCCACAGAATCGGTAGTAAAAAAAATTGAAACCCACCGATTGATAGGGAAAAATATATTACTGTAAATGTTTTTAGATTTCTTCAGTGGTGGGTTGCTACCAGTTCACCCCGGTTTGGGTGAACCTGTAGCGGCAGGAGGCTCCACCCTCCGCCTGGACGTCATCAAATACGCTCTGTGCATGCGCAGATGTGGCATGCAGGCGAACCAGTAGCAAAGGTAAGTGAAGCCCACCCCTGGATTTCTTATATGGTGTAGCCTCAGCACAGTCCTGAATTTAGAAAAAAAACATGGTGAGTTGATCAGACTTAGAGCTGGCATTCAGAAGGGCTTAAAACCATTTTCCCGCAAACACATTTGTTATCACAGTACAAGAGCGGAGAGCACGTAATCCTTCTGAACTACATTTTCCATAATCCTTTATGGCAGCATAATAAAGCTAGTAAATTTGCAACATCTAAACAATCAAAAAAATATAAATTGATATGGTGGATCAAAGAAAATAAATGAAGCAAAACAACCTGCCTCAAACAAACCCAGTTGCCTTTCAAATTCTATTGAAGTACTGTTTTTGTCATTCCCAAGCAGTTTGGCCGTAAGAGCTGATCCAATATATCTGAAAGAATGAATTTGGTGAAAACAGAAATAACAAAGAGCTACTTTAGACTCCAGAATATTGTTTCAAAGCAAGGTTCCAAAAGTATGACTAAGATAGCAATAGCACTTTGTAAGTTGGAAGGGACCTTGGAGGTCATCTAGTCCAACCTCCTGTTCAATAGCACTTAGACTTATAAAATGTACAGTACTTTATAGCCCTCTCTAAGCAGTTTACAGAGTCAGCCTATTTCCCCCAACAATCTGGGTCCTCGTTTTACCAATCTTGGAAGGCTGGAAGGCTGAGTCAACCTTGAGCCATTGAGAATTGAATTGCTGGCAACCAGCAGAATTAGCCTGCAATACTGCATTTTAACCACTGTGCTACCACGGCTCATATGAACCTTGTGCCCCCTCCCCCCCCCTCCATCTCCACTCCTTTGTTATGGGATTTTAAGAATGAAGGACAATGTCTTAAACTTTGTAGAGTTTTAAGGCACCAATTTCATCTCTTTAATTCCATAACCCTCCAGCATCTCCAACCCATTATTGATTAAAGGGCTAAACTTCGTCACCCTGGATAATTCCTTCAAACAAGTGCACAAGCAGCAATACAGAAGCAGTACCCTTACTACAATTGTTTTCAGGCACTAGCAGCATACTGCTTCTGAACATGGAAGATCCATTTGATTGGCATAGTTTACCACTTTAGAAAACTTGAGCCTCTTGGTTTTATTTTGCCCTACCCTTCCTAAAAGCCCTCAAAAACAGTGGTTCTTACTATAAATAAATAAAGCCTTGCAGTAATCAATATAATAAACCATAGCTTTATGAAGCATTTTCTCTAAATCCTCAGGCTTAGAACAGAGAGATCTGAGTGACTCTAGAAAATTATGACTTATTTATGGGAATGAAAACTAGGTCAGCGTAGAAAAGTCAAAATATATTATTAACAGTCATCCCAAAGGTGCTTTTTTCCAAAAGGCAGCTGGACTTTCTTGATTTTTTGAGAGTGTTTCTAAGAACTGAATTGGTTTTGGGGAGGAGAAGCAAAATGTTTTCAAAGAGGAAAAAAAGAACCAAGTAAGTCCATTTGCCTTTTGGGGAAAAAGCAACCATAACCTGGATGATTTGGAACAACCATAACCTGGATGATTGAGAATGGTGCACTTTATATTAATGAAAAGAAGAAATGACTGCTATTAATGTCAATGGACATTATTAATATTAATAGTCATTTCTTCTTTTTCATTAATAAGTGGGAAAAATACATTCAGCTTTAAAAACACCTGAAAATGCTTGCCAATTTTATCCAGGTCTGTAACAACCCAAAGACTAACAAGCCAGGATTCCCTCTACAAAGTGCACCATTCTCATGTGCCAATTTGAGGCATATGCTATTTTTATAGATTTATACCCAACAGAAACTATATATATAAAACCCTGTTCTTATTTTTCGCCATATCAACCCTCATTTTCAAGAGCTGTGTTTTTTTTAAAAAAATGTTTCATTTATTTTTATTTTACCAGCTTAAAATGCCTGGAAAGTGTGGGATTTAGGCCATCTCCTTGTAATTTTTATATACTGGTCCTGAAGTGGGGAAAGGAAGCGAGGGCTACACAGGCCTCCTGACAGGGCAAGAAGGATGGTGAATTTATGCAAGAGAAACCAAAGAGACGCAGCTCTGCCAGAAATAGATAAGAGGACCCCTTGAGATCCTCCAGCCTGGCCCAGCGGTGCTTAAGACAGAGCAGGGCCCAGACTGGAAGGGTTTTTTTAACCCTCAGCCATCTTGTAAAAGGGGCCTGGTTTTGTAGGCCGGAGTGGAACCCTTCAAGGCCATGCAGGCGTTTGCGTATGTGTTTTTGCAGGCCAGATTAGGTTGCCATGGAGACGAGTCTTAAAGGGGCAGTCTTTCTCTCCCTCAAGAAAAGAGCAGCAATATGTGGGAAGTGGGTGGAAAAGGCGGGAAAAGAAGAGCAGGAAGTGGCAGGTGCTCAAGTCCCGCCTCTTCCTCCTCCCTGAGAGCCGTTCATTGGCCCTGCCTGCATTTTGCTTAATGGGCTATAAAAAGTAGGGAAGCGGGTGGAAAAGGTGGGAAAAGGAGAACAGGAAGTGGCAGGTGCTCAAGTCCCGCCTCTTCCTCCTCTCTGGGAGCCATTCATTGGTCCTGCCTGCATTTTGCTTAATGGGCGATAAAGAATAGGGAAATTTGGTCTGCAATTATAAATATTACAGATTATGGTCACGGTTTATAGATTATTAATCGTGAAAAAGCATAATGATGCAACTACCTCTCTCTCTATGGTAAATAGATTGGAGATGAACAGCCCAGAGGAAGAAGCATAGATGTTATTTGTTTATTTCCTCTTCTTGGCTGACATCAGATAATGCTTGACCCAACACAATTAAAAACAAAAAAATAGAGAGAGGTTAACAAAATTATAGTTTATTAGCTGGGTTACTCATCAGAGGACCCTGTGGTCCATACAAATGTGCAAATAATAGATACAATACAGATGCAGGGAGTCCTTGACTTACAATCTTCGGTTTAGTGACTGTTCAAAGTTACCATGTTTCCCTGAAAATAAGATCCTGTCTTATATTTTTTTGAACCCCGAAATAAACGCTTCACCTTATTTTCGAGGAGGTCTTATTATTTTGGGGCATGTGGAGCAAGACAGGGCTCCTCTTGCTATCTTACCTGACTTCCAGCTCTGTCTCCCTAATCCTAACCAGAGGAAATGGCGGGGATGCTGCACATCAGTGGTGGGTTCCTCCCGGTTCGGTCCGGTTCGGCCGAGCCGGTAGTGGTGACGATATGACATCACCAAACCGGTTCTCCCCCCCGCCCTCCCACCCACGTTATTCTTACCTTTTATTTGGTCCCACCCCCAATCTATTGCTGCCTCCTGAGTCCCAGCTGATGACTAGAGGGAAAAAAAACTGTTTAAACTCTTGCCGCGGGGCTTCAAAGGGCCGTCCTACAGCTGATCAGTTTTAAAAGCAAACAAATGAGTCGGGTCGTAAGTGCAAGGACTGGTCGTAAGTGCGAGGACCTTCCAGAAATGACTCTGACCAGCTAGCCATGCCCACCTAGTCACATGACCTCCAAACCACACCCACAAAATAAGCCACGCCCACAGAACTGGTAGTAAAAAAATTTAGAACCCACCCCTGCTACACATGCATTTGAATATTTTCAGAGGGGGGCTTATTTTAGCGCATGCCCTCAAAAGCCCGATTGGGCTTATTATCCGGGAAGGTCTTATTTTTGGGGAAACAGGGTACAATGGGACTGAAAAAAGTGATTTATGACCATTTTTCACACCTACAACCATTGCAGCAGCCAGTGGTCATGTGATCAAAATTTGGCTGCTTGGCAACTGACTCATTTTGACTGTTTTAGTGCCCCGGTGCCATGTAATCACTTTTTGCAACCTTCTGACAAGCAAAGATAATGGGGAAGCCAGATTCACTTTAGAACCGTGTTACTAACTACACTACAACTGCAGTGATTCACTTAACAACCGTAACAAGAAAGGTTGTAAAATGGAGCAAAACTCACTTAACAGCTGTCCTTGCTTAGAAACAGAAATTTTGGGCTTAATTATGATTGTAAGTGGAAGCAAAGCAGTTGCAAGTCACAACTTTATGACATTTTTGGCATGGTTGTTAAGTGAGTCATACAGTTATTAGTGAATCCAGATTCCCTCATTGACTTTGCTTGCTAGAAGCAGGCTGCAAAGGTCACACATGGTGATCATTTGACCCCAGGACTCTGCAGCTGATGTAAATATATGCTAGTTGCTGAGAGCCTGAATTTTGATCATGTCCAGTAGGGAAGCTGCAATGGTCATAAGCGAGAGGACTGATCACAACTCATTTTTTTCAGGGCTGTCGTAACTTTAAACAGTTACTAAATGAATGATTGTCAATTGAAGACTACCTGATTGTTAGAGAAATAATTAGGTTATTGGTGAAGGGACTGCAAGGAAAGGAAACTATTTAATTTGAGCTATCTCTTGGCTCAACCTGTCTTAAAGGATTATTATGCAGAAAAAATATTTAAACAATGGTATTGTATTGTTACCTCTTGGAGAAAAACCAGGGTAGAAATAAATAACAAATTTTTATGAGATTAAATGCAACCTTTAATACTGTCTAAACTGCTAAATATCATTAAAATCTTTTGTACATAGTATTTCATAATCAATATGACCAGGGGTGAAATGCTCCCAGTTCGGACCGGCTCAGGCGAGTAGGTAGCAATGGTGGCGGGCAGTTTGGAGAACCGGTAGCAAAAATCCCTGCCCCCTCCCCCATGCCCAGCTGAGCCGCGCGATCATCAGAGCCTTTATTTTTCTTTTAAATGGCTCTGACGAGCCAAGCTCTGACGATCCCAGCTGAGTTGCCTGCTAACCAGTAGCAAAAATCCCTCCCCCCCACCATCCAGCCTCCAGCTTGTTTACCTTAGCTGCTGGTCGCAACGCCTACCTTGCTTTGCTTGCTGTAATACCTGCAATCCATTGCATCAGCAAGCAACTGAATCTCCCTGCCTGCAATCAAGTTCATCGGTGAGCAGCTCTATCTGCCTGCCTGCCTTCCTGCCTGCCTTGTACCTTCTATTGTAGGGGTCTCCAACCTTGGCAACTTTAAGACTTGGGGACTTCAACTTCCAGCAAAACTGGCTGAGGAATTCTGGGAGTTGAAGTCCACAAGTCTTAAAGTTGCCAAGGTTGGAGACCCCTGTTCTATTGGGTAAGTTTTTTTCCCCTTTGGGAGCTTTAAAAAAAATAATTGGGGTTTTTTTTAGTTGTTTCCTTTTTTAGACCTAGCCATTTAAAGTTTAGGAAGTTTTAAATTTAGCTGCTTTTATATAAAAATAAAAATAAAATAAAATAATATTTGTGCAGCTTTCTGAGATTTAGTGTGTTTCTGTAGTGTTTCACTCTAACTACACAAACACAGAAAATCTCACAAAGCTGTATGTGGAATTTTGTGTGTGTAAAGTGTGAAAGTTGTTTTTGGGGGCTTTTTGTGGCTGTGTGAGGTTCCTGCTTGTTGCAGGGGCCATTTTGGGTCTAGCACAGCTGCTTTTACATTGTGGGTGAGCCAGTTGTGTTGTGTTGTATTTTGTAGGTTAAAAAGGGGCAAAGAAGTGACATTGACTTGGCCACACCCACCCAGTCACCTTACCACCAAGCCCCACCCACTAATTAAGCCACGCCCACAGAACTGGTAGCAAAAAAAATTAGATTTCACCCCTGAGTATGACTCTTTGCAGGCTTTTCAATTAATTTCGTATATTGCTTTTGCTATATCACATCCAATAACTTTGTATTTAAGTTACTGATACAATATTAGACAATAGGTCTGTAAATGTGCAAAGCATTATCAGCCTGGCTAGGTGGCTCCATGGCTAAGACATTGAGCTTGTCGATCAGAAAGGTCAGCAGTTCGACGGTTCGAATCCCTAGTATAAGTCTCCTGCATGAGCAGGGGATTGGACTAGATAACCTCCAAGGTCCCTTTCTGTTACTGTTACCAAATATGCCTTGGCCCAATGACAGCCAGTGTCCAAAGTGGCACTTAGAGTGCACGTATGTGAAGGCTTAGATGTAAAGGTTCCACATTATATCAAGATGCCCCAATTTTTACTTCATCACTCTGGAATTTGGGCAGATTTCAAAACAGAGCATTCCAGTACAGAGACAGCAGATGCTGCTTGTAGAAGATTTCAGAATCAGAAGTATAATCCTCTGCTAAAATAGATTAAAGAAATGGTACAGAAGGCAAACAAAAAATTAATAACCAAAGTGATTGGGATTTTTTAATGGTTCAGATAATGAATTGAGAGGACAATTTTGACAGATATCTTAGCGACTGGAGTATCTGCATGTATGTCCAGATAACAGGTCTTATGTGTTGGGGAAGAATTACCAATAATTACTTTCAAATAATTCTACTTCTTCAGATATATCTATGCTTATGTTACAGTGTTATGCATAATATGGTTATTCTAATTCTTTTAATTTGCTTTGCAAAATCTTGGTGTTCTGAACTCTTGAATTATTGTACAATTATATTACATGAATGTCATTAAATGAAGAACCCTTATAAAAATTATGCTTGCTTACAATATGTAGGTAATTTTTAGCAATTTTTTTGAATTATTGAATTTTCTTTTAATAGCCAAGCCACAAATATTCTCTTTCTAGAATAATTTTAGAGAGCAATTAAGACATGGAGTGGATATTTCAATGTGAGGATGAGCAGAGGCCCTTGTTTTTATACCTTAGTTCATTCTGGATCCAGTCCTGAGAGTCAACTTAAAATGCTAAGAAAAAAAAAATCAGACTATTTTACATTCTCTACTCACTAATTGTATAGTTGAGATACTTTGAAGTAATGCCAAAAGAGAATTTTATTTTTATTCTCCGAGAAACAGCACATGGTTTCCTGCAGAATTGCTGCTAAATGGATTGTTTCTACTGGTATAGAAAAAAAATCTTAACCCTTTGAACTCAGTTATACGTTAAAGACTATCTGTATCATCCTTGTCTAATGCTAAGGTATGCTTCATGCCTTTTGCTCCTTAACGCTAAGAGTGTTAGAGGAAAAAGATAAAAATTAAATTAATATTCATATATTTCTATGGGTGGAAAATGTAACATTTAAAAAAAGATGGGGAAGAAGCGATAAAATATGAAAGAGAATAAATTAACTTTATGCTGGCTGTACAGTGGTGGATTGACTTACCAATTCTGACCTTTGGACAGAGCAAATTATATTGCCAGTGACCATTTACTAATCCAATGGCACATTCAAAATATATTTTAGTCTATCATAGGACCTTGTCACTGCCCTCCTGGCAGTTCAAAAGCATGCAAGTGCGAGTAGATAAATAGGTACCACTTTAGTGGGAAGGTAACAATGTTCTGTGTGCCTCAGTGTATAGTCATGCCACATAATCACAGAAATATTTTCAAACAACACTGGCTCTCTCAGTCAAGAAATAGAGTTGAGGACCAACCCCTAAAGTTGGACATAGCTGGACAGGGGAAATGTTTACCTTTACCTTTATGGATCTGGCATCTATCCATCCATCTATAGAACTATATCCTAGGATTCTGCAGTCCTGAAGATTCACAGAAGGCAATGTTTGGTCACACATTATACTGTTGGCCTAATTGACTGAAAATGTCAGATTATTCATGAACTGTCAGAGACATGGTAACAAGATTAGGCAATGAATAGGCATAGCAACTAAGTCAGCCAATTGGGAGCTGAGAGAGACTGGAGCCAGGGTGTGTCTTAGTCTGCAGCATCTGAGTCTGTGCAAAGAAACGAAACTGAAACTAGTGTGTGTGTGCTTGTCTGCTCTGCTGAAATGAAACTAACTGTTCTCGCCTGCCTTGTGTTGTAACTGCTACTACATTAAAAAAGAATCTACTATTGGTATTGTAAATATTTCATGTTATTATGTATTATGTAAAGAAGTTAATGAATCCAGCTGAATCAGTTATCTATGTGTGCTTCTGGATTTGATTTGCATATTTTCTGACAGAAAATATGCGAAAGATTAAAGCAGAACTGCCCCAAAACTATGTTTCTTTTTGCAAACACAGTAGACCCCCGATTTTCAAAACCCTCTACATCATTATGTTAGTGTTGTGGACAAAAAACAACAACACAATAGTTATACTGCACAGTGTTTATTGTTTACACATGGATTTTAGAAAAACTGAAATGATATACTGAAATGAAAAACTGAAATGATATACTGAAATGAGAAATGAACAATAGCCAGAAGAATTGGATATTTGACCACGTGAAACTAAAAGAAAATTTTTAGTTTCACGCGGTCAAAAGAAAGAAACTAAAGAAACTAAACCGTCATTCCATAATGATGTACCCTCCATTTCTTTCTATTATGAGGGTGATTCTGAAAAGATAAACAAAACAAGAACAGGTAACCTTTCGATGGCTAGAATTATCCTTAATACTTACTTCATTCAATATTTAATCTCAGGGAGGCAGAGAATTGCAAAGTAGGTAGAGCTGTGTCACACATAAGAATAAGTGGGATTGGGAGGATGAGTTAGGGATGGTACAATTCATTCCTGACATGAGGATGTTTCACAAACCATTTCCGGAGGATAAGATCTCCACTTGAAATTGAATTGCATGTTTCATTATTCTCCACCGATCTCCCCTCAAACAATACACTATATACCCCCTGAAATTGTTATCTTCGTTCTTCACGTCAGAGGATCTGCATGTTTCCAGTTGTATTCCAGTAAGGTAGTTTCCCATCTCTCAGAATGGCTATGAAGATGCCTAGTCACGGAAGGTGATCAAATATTCAGGGTAAGCGTGATCATCAAAAAAGATCACAAAAATATTCGGGTTATGAAGAACGTCCACCAAACTATCGTAGCGGCCGTTTCCCTCTTCTTTCATTGGAGGCAATACCATATTTACGCTTCCACAATCATATTCCCCGGTGAGAACTCGAGCTTGAAAAATGTATCGGAGCCCCTGGTGATCTGGTTTGGCGTAGAACACAGAACGGCCAGCAACGGCGGAAAAATAAATGCCTTGTCCGTAGATACATTCTAGAAAAAAACAAAAGAGAGCATCATGTTTATTGTATAGTTCAGGGGTGGGCAAATGTGGCCCTTTTACAACCTGTGGACTTCAACTCCCAGAATTCCTGAGACAGCTTGGCTTGGCTGTCTCAGGAATTCTGGGAGTTGAAGTCCACAGGTTGTAAAAGGGCCACATTTGCCCATTCCTGATATAGTTACTCCATTATTTCTCGCTGTTCTGCACACTTTTCTTCCGTATCAGCTTAGAATTTAGAAGATTCACCTTTGTCATTTCACTTATTTATTTATTTTTTTGTACAGGTGCTAAACAAGACATTGTTAAGTGAGTTTTTTCCCATTTTGCAACCTTTCTTGTCGCGGTTGTTAGTGAATCACTGCAGTTGTTAAATTAGTAACACAGCTGTTAAATGAATCTGGCTTCCCCATTGACTTTGCTTCTCAAAAGGGGAATCAAGTGGCCCTGGGACACTGCAACTGTCATAAATATGAGTCAGTTGCCAAGTATATGAGTTTTGATCACGTGACCATGGTCATAAGTGTGAAAAATGGTCATAAGTCACTTTTTTCAGGGCTGTTGTAACTTTGAATGGTCACTAAGTGAACTGTTCTAAGTCAAGGACTACCTCTATTTGTACTTATAAGAAATATGGTCAGACTACCATGAATTTATACATATGTGACCAGTGTGGATTTTCCATTATTCATGAACCTTTGATCTTGCATTAGATCTTGGAAATGTGGTAAGTTTTAATGAGGTCAAGAAAATATTTTTAGTCCTCATAAACCCAGATGATATGCACATTTAGAATTAGTAACATGTAAAAGATGAATATTTGTCTATGGAATTCATCTTTCCAAGGTGTTTCTTAAACAATCTGGAATTAAGGAGAAACTTCCTAACAGTGAGGTCTATTAACCAGTGGAACAGCTTGCCTTGAGAAGTTGTGGGTGCTTCATCACTGGAGGTTTGTAAGAAGAGACTGGACAGCCACTTGTCTGAAATGGTATAGAGTCTCCTGTTTGAGCAGGGGGCTGGACTAGAAGACCTCCAAGGCAGTGGTGGAATTCAATTTTTTTTACTACCAGTTCTACCAGCAAAATCCCCATTCCCACTCCACTCCTGGGGGAAGGGTACTGCAAAATCCCCATTCCTTCCCTACTCCTGGGGGAAGGATATTGCAAAATCTCCATTTCTATCCCACTCTGGGGCCAGCCAGAGGTGGTATTTGCCGGTTCTCCAAACTACTCAAAATTTCCACTACTGGTTCTCCAGAACCTGTCAGAACCTGCTGAATTTCACCTCTGCTCCAAGGTCCCTTCCAGCTCTATTTTGAGTGATTGATTGATTGATGGATGGATGGATGGATGGATGTTAATACAGCTCAACCTCTGAACTGCAAATAAAAAGCAAACCAAAATTGATGGAAGGAAACAAGCTTTCTCCATCAGCTGGAGGGTATCCTTTTGGTATTTTTTTGTTCTAAAACCAATGTAAGTTACAGTGCTACAAATGTAAATAGATTTAAGGTTTATGCTATTCAAGAAATAGTTCGTTTTTTATACTTGAAACAAAACTTTTCCCCTGGAAGACACTAAAAACAACCGATTTGTATTTGCTGAATATTCAGAATTTGAAGGCTATATCCACAGTAATCCAACCCAATCTTAAATTTCTTCTCCCATGAATTATGGTTTCTTATATTATCTATATTTCCTTAAACTATGCAGATAATGTTCCTTCTTCTGGTTCCCCAATCTTTTATTGTCTTTTTTCTAGCAACCCTTGAAGTGAGGATAACAAAAACCAGCAGCAAAATTACCATATTTGGGCCAGCTTGGATTCTTTACTGATCGATTTATTTGCTCAAGAGTGGTGAACTAGACAGCTTTTGGGAAAGAGCAATAAGAACCCCTTTTCAGTTTCTTACGTTTTCGAAAAGCATTTTTGAAGCCAATTTCACAGACAGAGGAACAGTTCTCTGGCACTGTTCCATGATAGAGAATGAGTTCATTCTGTGTCCCTTCTGGATTTCTCTTCTCCATCCAGCTTTTTTTCCAGCAATAGGAAACCCACAAATATCGGTTTTGGATCCTCTCTACCTATAAGGAAAAAGCCAAGATCATGGCAAGTCATTTTATTTTATTGAGCCTTGTTTGTCTGAGGGAGGGAGGAAGAAGAAGGAAAGAAAGAAAGAAAGAAAGAAAGAAAGAAAGAAAGAAAGAAAGAAAGAAAGAAAGAAAGAAAGAAGAAAGAAAGAAGGAAGAAGGAAGGAAGGAAAGAAAGACAGGAAGGATGGAACGAAGGAAGGAAAGAAAGAAGGAAAGAAAGAAAAAGAAAGAAGGAAGGAAGGAAAGACAGAAAGGCAGAAACTAAGAGTAAGGCAGGCAGGCAGGAAAGAAGGAAGGAAAGAGGGAAGAAAGAAAGAAGGAAGGAAAGAGGAGGATAGGAAGGAAAAGATGGAAGGAAGGAAGGAAGGAATATATATTAGTTTTTTAAAGATATTAAAATTGTAGACTGAAAAAAATATAAGAGAACTCACCTGTAATTTTGTGACTTTTTGCTATCATAAAATATCTTCCACTTTATCACAAAATAAGCTATATCAAATCTCAACTTTAAAAGAAAGTTTAGTGCTACTGTAATATATGACTGGTCTCTCTTGCTTAAATAATCTAAAATTACTGTAGTTATTTTTCTCTGTCTTTTTCCCTGATTTGTGCTTATTCTGTACTTCTTATCTATTATAGTCTGAAGTTTATAATCTGATTTAGAGAATGGGATGCCTTAAAAAAATACATACTAGCTAGGGAATTCTGGGAGTTGAAGTCCAGACATCATAAAGTTGCTAAGGTTGGAAAAGACTTAACTATATTTATTAATCTTAATAGCAAAGTCTCCAATCAATCACAACTTACTCTGACAACTTTGTAGTTCCCAGCTGTCTTGTTGAAATTCCTCATCACATCCTGATATTCCTTTGAATATGACTGCAGTTCCACTTTCTTAACTAAACATTCATCCATGGCTTCCCAGAAGGGAGCAATATTTTTGTCTGCAACAAGTAAATGGATTGAACAAATGAATAAATGAATAGAACTAAGGTCCCCTTATGATCCCCTGTATAGGTGAGCAGAACACTTTTGACAGTGGTGAAATCCGAACTGGTTTGCTACCGATTTGCAGGCCGCACATGCGCGCTGTGCTTCAAACTTGCTGCATCCCAAACGCATGCTATGTGCGCATGTGCAGTGCGCACCAAATACGTGCTGTGCACGTGTCTGCGCATGGGCAGGACGTGCCAGAAGGAGGCTTGGGAAGGTAAGTAAAACAGTGAAAGGGGGAATCAGCTGTGCCGCGTGATTTAGCTTCGCTAGAAAGCAGTTGTACAGGTAGTCCTTGACTTACTATTCATTTGGTGACCATCCGAAGTTCCAACAGCACTGCAAAAAGTGACTTATGACCTGTCCTCGCACTTATGACTGCTACAGCATCTCCAGGGTCACGTGATCAAAATTTGGATACTTGACAACTGGCATGTACAGGAAGTCCTCGGCTTACAACTGTTCATTTAATGACTGTTCAAAGTTACAACGGCACTGAAAAAAGTGACTTGCAACCAATTTTGACAGTTACAACCTTTGCAGCATCCCCGTGGCCACGTGATCAAAATTCAGATGCTTGGCAACTGGTTCATATTTATGACAGTCGCAGTGTCGTAAATGTCTCCTTTTTGCGACCTTCTGACAATGAGGGAAGCCAGATTCGCTTAACAACTGGGTTACTATCAATTGCAATGATTCACTTAACAACTGTGGCAAATAAGGTCGTAAAATGGGGCAAAACTCACTTTAACAAATGTTTCACTTAGCATCAGAAATTTTGGACTCAATTAGAGGTCGTAAGTTGGGGACTACCCGTCTATATGAGGGGGTCGTGCCATCACCATTTGTAACCTTTCCAGCCGGCTTCTGACAGGCAAAGTCAATGGGGGAAGTCAGATTTGCTTAATGACTGCATGGTTCTCTTAACAACCACAATGATTCACTTAACAACTGTGGCAAAAAGTCATAAAATGAGGCAAAACTCAGTTAACAACTGCCTCGCTTAGGAATGGAAGTTTGGGGCCCAGGATCCAATTTGAGTCGGTCTCCGGGACCAAAGGGCTTTCAATCCTGTGCTGGAGCCCATCCTCAGGGAACTTCCAAAATATGTGCATTTTGGGCTTGATTGTCGTTGTAAGTCGAGGACTACGTGTGTGTGTGTGTGTGTGTGTGTGTGTGTGTGTGTGTGTGTGTGTGTAAAAATTTTTTAAAAGGCTTTTGGCCAATTCTGTGCACTGATAGAAAGTAGACACGACAGCTGTTCTTTGGAGTACCTGTCTGGGCAGTTTTTACAGACTATAATTGAAACTCTTGATATATAATTGAAGGAGTATATGAATCAAACTAATATTAGCTATTTGCTTTTATGAATTGCTTATGTTGCTATATAATTGTTGCTGATTAAACCAATATTTGCTGTTTGCTTTGATGTGATATATTGCTAGAAATCATTTATTAGGAATTAAGCTTTGTTATTGGCTTCTGCTTATATTATTGTACACCGTCAGAAATTAGTTGTTAGGAAGTAATTCTAGGTTAGGGTTAGGGTTAGGGTTACACATATAAACTTACACATGTTTTCCCTCACAGAAGAAAATTTAGATTGGATAAACAATTGGGTGGAATATGGCGAGTCAGAATTAATTGACAGCACCGCTTATTTATTAGCAATGTTGTGGTAAAAAAATATCTGTCGATATTCTCTAAGTTAAAACACAACTAAAATAGATTCTTGGTATATAAAAGAAAGCAACCCACTAAAGAATGGAGTAAGAAAAAGATGAGAAAATGGAGTTGATATAAGAAATAAGTAGATTTGTTTCCATAGAAAATGCAATAAAAAGGGTGATATAGACAGGGTGAATAGAAAATATCTACAGGCCCCTCACATCCTAGAAACAAATGTTTCAACTCCATCCCTCAGGACACCATTATAGGGCATTGCATGCCAAAACAAATAAACACCAAGACAATTCCACACCCCACACACCCCATGCCATCACTCTGCTAAACACCTAATTCCCAAAGCTCTGCCTTTTGCCTAACAATATTAACCCATTTAGTAGGGCTGTATTGCCATTTTTCTTCTCATCTTTCGTATTAACTTCTCCTGTTGGTATCTTATGATTTATCACTTTGTATCTTATGATTTATGATCGTATTTTATGATTCATGATCTATGACTTATCACTTTGTTGTTTGTATGTACACTGAGAGCTTGTGTACCGGAAAGAAATTCCTTGTGTATCCAATCATACTTGGCCAATAAAGAATTCAATTGTTCTGTTCTGTTCTGTTCTGTTCTGTTCTGTTCAATTTGATTCTACTCCACTCCACTCCACTCCACTCCACTCCACTCCATTCCATTCCATTCCATTCCATTCCATTCCATTCCATTCCATTCTATTCTATTCTATTCTATTCTATTCTATTCTATTCTATTCTATTCTTCCATTCCATTCTATTTTATTTTCTCTATTCCACCTGTGTTTCCCTGAAAATAAGACCGGGTCTTATTTTCTTTTGGGGCCTAAAATAAGAAATAGGGCTTATTTTCAGGGGGGGTCTTATTTTTTCCCTATATTCAGAAGGCCCAGTTCTTCTGGTTGCTCACCGTGGGGCAGGAGGCTGTGTGATGTACCAGTGCTGCCGCTACAAGGTGTGGGATTGATGGAGCTGCCCCAAACACCCTGTACCAGTTTACCTCAGGGCCCTGCAGCCAGGCCATCCAATACCCCGATCGCTGCCTCACGCCCTCAGCTGCAGCACCAAGATGCCGCTCAACCTCCTGCTCCTTTGAAGCCACGAGCCGTGAGGCAGGTGTCAGGGTGTGGATGGCCTGGCTATGGGGGCCCTGAGGTAAGCCAGCATGGGGCACATGGGGCAGCTCCACCATACCCTGCCTTGCCGCTGTGGCACTGCAAACAACCAGATGAAACGGGCGGCCAGGCAGCTGGGCAGGTGCTTAAGTAGGGCTTATTTGGGAGTAGGGTTTATATTAAGCGCATGCGTTAAAAAAAAACATGCTAGGGCTTATTTTTTGGATAGGTCTTATTTTTGGGGGAAACAGAAATAAATAAATTCTATTATCCCATTCCATCCCATCCTAAAAAGAGAGTTTCTAATAAAGTAAGATACATCTTCTCACCCCATAAGCAGATATCTCTCCTTATCTTGAATTTTCTCTTGCCCAAGATGAAGGCTTCACTCGTCAGAAAATTAATCATCAGTTTTTCGCCATTCCATGACAGTAGTGTTGCCATTTTCTTCTTACCATATTCCTGCTCCAGATAGTGATTGGTTAGTATGTCAAAGCTAGACCATCCGGCATCAGATCTATGATGCCAACGGACAGTCTCATACAGAAGCTTGGAAACTGCCTCTTCCGCTTGAGCTTTTTGGATCTTTGCAAAGAGAAATTTCTCTAACTTGCTGTAAATCTTCCCAGAAATATTTTCAACATCTTTTTGAGAACCATAAATCCAAACCACCTTTTCTCTTAGGCGATGGAAGCCAACTGGATACTGAGGCATGTTAGTTTTGCAAAGGGCTTTAAGGCTGTCATCAGTGAAGGTTGACATCTCGGCACTACAGATGGTTTCTTTGTGGAATTTGGCAATAAAATTTGACAAATGCTGCTTGAGAAAAGTAACTTTGCTTTCTATTCCTACTACATGGATCACAGCCTTGTGGTCCTCAGCTAAACCCTGGAAGGGAGGGGAGGAAAGAACAGTTTTTATAAGAACAAAATCAAATGTTTAGAAATGTGGGTGTCAGGTTTTTTTTGTGTGTGTGTGTCCAATCTTTATTAAATATTTACAGTAAAATTAACACACAATGATTGGAAAGCAATATAAGAAGTGAAATATAGAAACACATAAACACAAGACTAAAACGAAACAACAAACATGACTAACCGAGAGTTAAGCTCACTTTCCAATTAATATTAACTAATATCATCCTTGTCAGGGCGTTGATTAATCCCATTCTCTTTTGGGATAATCGCACCTGATTACGAGGGGTGGATCGAGACCTTTCCTTGCGAGTATACTTTAAGAAAACAAAACCCGAAGATATTTTCTAAGAAAACTCATTTATTTGTTATAAAGAAAATAAAACACCTAACTGACTAAGAAAATTAATTGTTACATTTTTGCAAAAGTTTGTGCCGGCAATTTCTCAGCTGGACCTTTCTGGCAAGAGAACAAAGAAAAGAGTGTGAAGGAATGTGGGTGGACATGCGCAGTTTAGCTTACTGCTTACTGATAAGGATTCTTGGCAAGCTACGGAAAGTCTGATAGTCCAGAACTAATGAGCTCAGCTGGTAAATAAAAAAAACGCAGTGACAATCCTAGCCAAACATTTCAATGCAATCAAGTTCTTTTAACTATCTACAAAACAATTGGCCTGTTTTTATCAAAATTATAAAGAGTTATAAAGCCTAGTAAATATCTAGTTAATCTAATTAGACGATCTTATCACCCTTCTCCTAGGTTTAACCTTCTTTTGAGCCAGACAAAGCATCTGTCCCAACTTCTATTATATACTGAATCTTTCTTGTCTTTTAAGATATACGTTAGCCTGTCCATCTCAGCACATCGGAGAATCTTGTTTATTATCAGATGGTCAGGGGGCGTATCTGCATCTTTCCACAGTTGAGCAAATGCCATTCTTGCCGCTGTTGAGACATGGACAAATATATACCAATCCTTCTTGTCAATGTAGTCCAGTCTTATTCCGAGTAAGTAGAGGTCTGGGTGAAGGGGAAAGCTCACACCTGTTATTTCCAGCAGCCACTGCTGTATTTTCCCCCAATAGCATCTAGTTGACGGACAAATCCACCACTGATGGAAGAAAGTACCCTTGGCCGACCCACATTTCCAACATCTACCAGAAGATCCTGGGAACATCTTAACGATTCTGGCGGGGGGGGAGATACTAACAGTAGATCATTTTATAAAAGTTTTCTTTGAACGGGGAAGAAAGGGTCAGTTTCATAATTTTGTTCCATACATTTTGCCATGCATCAAGCTGAATTGTTGTTCCAATATTTCTCCCCCAGGCAATCATCGTGTCCTTTACAATCTCCTCCGCCATAAAATTGGACAGAAGAAGATTGTAAACGTTGCAAATAAATTTCCTTTGGCCACCTAGGAGAAGCTTGTCAAAAGTTTGTAAATGAAGGGAAATACCATGTTCCTGTTTATTCCTAGCGAATCTAGTTTGAATTTTCACATAAAACCACCAGCCTATGTCTAATCCTCTAGTTTGGAGATCGACTCTAGGTCTAAGAAATGTGGGTGTCAGTTTTGATTTGCATTGCACTGGTGTCAGAAGCACCAAGGCACTTCTCGGTTAACAGGATTAGCCAATGACATCACTGTTGCCTGGGCAACACCTAGTAGGGGGCTCCTTTCATATACTTTGCAAGAGCTGGAACAAAGGATGGGGGCTGACCCCACAGCAGCACTCAGGTCTCAAACTTGATTTTGCTAACCTCCAACCCTGTGTTCTAATCAATGAGCTGCCATGTTCCTCAAGTTTTAATGTATGTTTCTAGAACTCAACATACCAGAATTATTCCCAATTCAATTTAGGCAATGACTACAAAACCAATCTAAAGAAAAACAGTTCTAGTACTGAGGAAACATCCAATCAATCGTTAATCAGGAAACTTATATTGGGGTACATGCCTCAATTCAGGGATTTGACACAAGCCTAGGGCCAGTTTGGTATAGATGTTTATTTTATTTATTTATTGAATTTCTATACCGCCCTACTCCCGAAGGACTCAGGGCGGTGCACAGCCATGAAATAAAACACATAGATATACAAAATTTAAAATCGAATAAAATGAATTAAATAAATTTGGCTGAATTAATACCCATTTTAAGATACCCAAATTTTAAAATACATTAAAAAATTTAAAATTTACACTTAAAAGGGAGAAGATTTAGGCGAGGCCAGCTTGGTGAAATAAAAGTGTTAAGGCACTAGGTTAGGAACTGGAAGACTGTGAGTTCTAATCCTGTCTTAGGTACAAAACCTGCTGGGTGTTGTGGTCCACCGGTAGCCTGTAGAGCTGGCAGCAGAGTCGGACAATGAGGAGGCTGGGGAGGAACATGGGCCAGTCCTGGAGTCCGGGGAAGGCTCGGACGAAGGCTCTGCGTCAGAGGCAAAGATCTGGGAGTTATGTGCTGACTCTGGAGCCTCTGGAGTCTGACGTTAGCAAGGCAGAGGAACGGGGGGAGCCTGTTCCCAGTGCGCGCATGCACAGAGCTGCCAGAAGGCAAGAACAGTTAAGACAGAAGGGACAATTCAGGGGTAGGGCTTGGAGATGATTGGCCCCTCCCATAAGACATAAAGGAGGAGAAAAGGCACGTGAGCCTTTGCAGGAAGCAACTTTGTTCGTGCTGGTTGGTTTAAATTCAGAAGTTCCGTTTTGACTCTGTGCTCCGTGTGGCTTTGCAAAGCTAATAGCCAATTAGGTCTTTGGCAGCAGGTCAAGGGAGATAAAGGTAGGTGCTTATCAGCCTTATCCCAAAGGACTGTCAGACTCTTTACAAACTATTTGTGATTCATCACGGGCTGTGAATGGACATAATTCATAGCCGTTGAAATAAAAAGAGGGTTTTTGGGACTAATTGTGTTCTTTTTACTGTCTCAGGAAGCCTAGGTCAGAACACCGGGTGACTTTAAGCCAGTCACTCTCTCTTAGCCCTAGGAAGCAGGCAATGGCAAACCTCTCCTGATATCTTGCCAAGAAAACTGCAGGAGCTAGTACAGATGTCAGCATTGACTTGAAGGCACATATACAAAAGAGGGGAATGAATGCAGGTAGTCCTTGACTTACAACCATTTCTTTAGTGACCAAAGTTACAATGTCACTAAACAAAAATGTTACTTGGGACCTTTTTTTCACACTTACAATCACTGCAACATGGGAACAATGGCCATGTGGTGAAAATTCATTGCTTAGTGACTGGCCTGTATTTATAACGGTTGCTGAACCATTATATATATGATGGTTGCTGAACAACCATGTTACTAAGTAAATAACTGCAGGGATTTACTTAACAATGGTGGGTAAAAAGGTCATAGCATGGGGCAAAACTCACTTAACAACTATCTTGCTAAACAAATTTTGGGCTCAGTTGCATTTGTAAGTTGAGGACTACCTATATATATATTTGATAGAAGGACACAGAAGAACAACTAGCTGTTGCCTTAAAAACACTATTACTTACTTGCAAGACTCCACCATTGCTAGAGCAGTGGCTCTCCTGAGTTTGCATCCTTACAATACAATTCTGAGTTTCTGCCATGTTCTTCAGAAGATCTGATCCATCTTCAGAGAAGTAGATGCATAATTCTTTCTTCTCCAGAGGTATCATACCAAGCACCAGAGAGTCCAAATCTTTCTTGATCACAGGCATAGCTTCCTTCACAAATTTCCGGAGTCCTTTCACTTGCAGTGACAATTTATAATGACTTTGCTTGAATTTGATGTTCACCTTGAGGTGTTCCCAATTCATAATATGAAGGACACTCTCCCCAGTTAACATTAATTCTGGTTTAATAAGCAACATACTTTCTTTCAATGGGGAATTGTCTCTTAGGTAGTCCTTAATATATTCTTCTGCCATAGCAGTCTGAAGAGGAGGGCCAATCACGGTCACCTGATTGGATGGAGTGTAATGAACGGCAACTTCCTTAAGAGACTTTAATCTGTTTAGCAAGTCTTCCCACTCTGGCTCCTCAGTGACCCATTGCAACTGATCTGCAATCTCTACAGTCTTCTCACACATCTGTTCCATTAGGGTCTTTTCAGCTTCTTTGATTTCACTCAAGTTTAAGCCACCAACTTGAACAATTTCAGAGATCTCCAAAATGGCTTGGATGTTCCTTTCCCAGAAAAAGCCATTGTGAAAAAGCTTGCCCCATTGTGCCTTGACAAACTGAAACTGGATTTCGGAGAGAGAGACTGGTAAAAATTGAAAACCACTAAGGAATTCCTCAAACTGCCTCCTCAGTTCTACCAACTTCTGACGGGGACCTCTAAATATGATGGTTGCTGGATCATTGCCCAAGACTTCTGTGCTTACAAAAGGGCTTGTTGGAAATCTGTTCTGGAACAAGCTTTCTTTTATAATAGTATAAGGGATTGACTCATATTGAGCTTTGACTTCAATTATTTCAGAGTGATATTTCTCAATCTTTCTATGAACAGCTTCCAGAACTTGCTCCACATCTTTTGGGAAACCACTAATCTGGATTTCATTATCCTGCAACCAACTGATATCTACAGGAAGCCTGTGGGATACATTACTAAGGAACTCATTGATGTTCATATTTTTGAAAGTGGCAATTGCTTCATGACAGATGGATTCCGTACAGAACTGTGCAAGGAGACTGGCCACAATTTGCTTCAACGAGATTATGGGCTTCCATTTGCCCATTATATATATTGCCTCTGAAATGCCTGTATCAAATCTCTAAAAAAGAAAGAAAGAAAGAAAGAAAGAAAATTGGATGTTAGGGACACAATAGTTCTTGATACGATCGATAATGTAAGTCATAAAATCATTGTGAAATCTGCATTCTAAATTTATAACTGACAAACAAATTCTTCCTGTCAGTGTCACCGATAATTTTCCATCTTGGCCTATATCACTTTCTAATAAACTTGATGGAGTGGACTGAAATGGCAAAACTGAGTACCTTAATCAAAGAAAAGAACATAATGGAAACCATTTCTAAACTTCGTGCTTGATGTGGAAAAGAATGAAACTCTGATTTTAGGTTTTACAGATTAGATTGATAGATCTGAAGGATGGGGGGCGGTGGGTGAGTGGGTGGGGCTTCAGCAACATTTGCTGTATAAGATGCACAGAAATTTCCACCCACTTTTGGGCAGGGGAGTGTGTCTTATACTCCGAAAAATACAGTAATTTGCATTCATTCTTATTTACAAGCATGGATGGAACTTTTTTTAAAAAAAGCAAATAGAAGCTATAAAAATAGATTATACTTACTTTTTTTATGAAGTCCTTGTCTATGATCTTCTTCCAATCCTCGGACTCTTCAGTCTGCATCCTAGCAATGCAATGCAAATGCCAAGCCATGCTCTTGAGTAGATGTGCTCCAATTCCAAAGACGTATTCTCTAACAATTCTCTTCCTTACAGGTATTACATCAAGCACCAAAGAATCCAAGTTCTTCTTGATGACTGGAATGGCTTTCTTCACATATTTTTGAAGACCTCTCACCTGCAGCACTGAAGACTCACTGTTCACCTGGACTGCAACGTTCATGCTGAGATGTTCCCAGCCTATTATATGAAGCAGATCCTTCCCAGCTAAAACTAATTCTAGTCTAGTAAGACTCACTTTTTCTTCCACTTGGGAATTCTCACTCAAATATGCCTTAATAGATTTTTCTACTTCAGTGACCATAGGACAGAAGCCTACAAGGATCACCCAATCAGGTGCCACGTGATGAATGGCTACTCCCTTATGAGTTTCCAGACTCTGCTGCAGCAGCAGCTTCCATTCTGAAGACTCCGTAGCCCATTTCACATCCTCTGCAATCTCCATAGCTCTTTCACACACTAGCTCCATGAGGATCTCTTTGGCTTCTTTCATTTTGCCCAAGTCTAGGCCAACAATCTGGACAACCTCAGAGAGCTCCAAAACAACTGGGATACTCCTGTCTAGGAAGAAACTGTTGCAGAACGCTTTGTCCCAATGTGCCATGACAAACTGCAACTGGAAATTGGACAAAGGAACTGGTAGAATCTGGAAGCTGTTCAAGACCTCCTCGAAACACTCCTTTGCTTCCTTGACTCTCTGACAGGGTCCCCAGAATTTGATAGTTGCTGGAGTCTTAGCAGTAATTTCAAGGTTTATCATAGGACTGATTGGGAGCAACTCCTGAAGTACAACATCTTTGGCAATAGTATACCGGGGCAGTGGCTCAGCTGTGTACTCCCAGATCACAGGTTCCCTTTGAGATGCCTCATGGGTGAGCCATTGTAAGAAGCACTTGATCTCATCCAACAGGCCTACAAGCCACATTTGGTCAAGGATATAGATCCTGAGGGATTCAAATCTATCCATAAGACTTTGGTGGTCAATCAAGACTTTTAGAATCTCTTCTCGTGTCTCACAATGCAGCACGTATTTCTTTCGCACAAACTCAAAGGCTTTTTCTAAGTCAAGCAGCTGCACAGACTGATCAATGGCCTGGAATGTCAACAGTTTCTGATCCATGTCCACCTGGATGTCATAACCAGCCTTTTTCAGTTGCACTTGAAATTCATTGAAGGCACTTGAAGTTTCCTCAAGGTACTGGAGGAAAAGTGGTTCTTCCATACGACATAATCCCACCGGCTCTGAAAGAAAGATGGAGGTCATGAACATTAGGCCAGGTTGCTGCCATGATCTGATTTTCTTCTCAATTTCCCTGCTCCCATATTGAAATACTTAAAAGGGAAAATACTTTTTATGAGAATTGGGGAAGGAAGAAAAACTGAAGTTTAGTTGTAAAGAATAAAGTCAGTCTGGATTAATTCCACTATCTGTGGCCAAGATCAAAGTCTTGTTATCCAACTATAAGCTAAAAGTGTGCTTTCTCCATCCCGTCCTCAAATCTAAACCTATATTGTGACTGTTTAATCATGCCATCAAGTTCACTTCAGTATGGCTAGATTCAGGTAGTCCACAACTTAACACTACAACTGGGACCAGAATTTCTGTGGTTAAGCAAAGTAGTTGTTAAAAGTGAATCTTGCACAATTTTTTGATTTTTTTTTTTCTTTATGCCCGGGTTAAGTGTATCAGTGAAGTTAAGCGAATTACACAGTCATTAAGTAAATCTGACTTTCCCCATTGATTTTGTCTGAAACTGGGTGTGAAGGTCACAAATGACAATCAGGTGGCCCCAGGATACTGCAATTGTCGAATAGAATAGAATAGAATAGAATAGAATAGAATAGAATAGAATAGAATAGAATAGAATAGAATAGAATAGAATAGAATAGAATAGAATAGAATAGAACAGAACAGAACAGAACAGAACAGAATAACAGAGTTGGAGGGGACCTTGGATGTCTTCTAGTCCATGGACCGTGTTTGGTTGGAACCCTATTGTGTCATCTGCAGAATTCTTCTAGGTGCCAGGCAGCATTCCTAAGGTTTGTTTCAGATTTGTTTATTGTGGCACTAACTAGGGGGATCCGAAAATACTCTATGGATGATGTAGGCAAACTTGAAATAAACAATGCATGTTTCTTTCTTAGCCATCTCAGTTGGGGAGAAGTTAGCATAAGAAAGAGCAAGTCATTGATTAGCCGACATTTGTCTCAATCCTTCATAATAGCAATAGCACTTACTGCTTCACAGTGCTTTTACAGCCCTCTCTAAGCGGTTTACAGAGTCAGCATATTGCCCCCAACAATCTGGGTTCTCATTTGACTCACCTCAGAAGGATGGAAGGCTGAGTCAACCTTGAGCCTGGAGAGATTTGAACTGCCAAATTGCAGTCAGCTGGCAGTCAGCAGAAGTAGCCTGCAGTACTGCTCTCTAACCATTGCGCCACCATAGCTCGTAGCAATAGCACTTAGATTTATATACCGCTTCACAGTGCTTTTACAGCCCTCTCTCTAAGCAGTGTACAGAGCCAGCATATTGCCTCCAACAATCTAGGTCCTCATAATAGGGGAAATAAATTATGAGGAGTGCTTTCTAAGCTTGGTTGTTTTCTTGCAGATATTTTATTACCTAAACTAGGTAACATCATCAGTGCTAAATTGTTTAATTATTTAAATGGATTATTTTTGCTTGTTTGATGTACCAAACAACGTATTTCACATTTAATGTGACTGTTATAAATGAATCCATATAGTTCACAGTTCATGTAATCGAAATGAATGGATGGATGGATGGATGGATGGATGGATGGATGGATGGATGGATGATTTAAAACCACCTCCTTCCCCTCCCCACCAAAAGCCCCACAAGGGGGAAAAAATAATAGAAAAAACCATAAACTTGGCAAAAACGAGAACTGAGGACAGGAATCCATTGCAGCAATAGACATGCAGCAGAGTTTTACACTGTATCTTATTTAGTGGTGGGATTCTGCCGGTTCTAGGCAGTTCGGCCGAACCGTTTGTTAAATTGCTGGCTCGCCCCACCCCTTGCCCCGCCCCTCCGCACCACTGGGCGAGGGGTGGGCGAGCCAGCAATTTAACAATGGTTCGGTGTTTTTTTATAATTTTATTGGCCACGCAACTGCCGCGGGGCTTCAAAGGGCCGCCCTACAGCTGATCAGTGTTAAAAGAAAACAAATGACTAGATCTACGCCTGCAAAAATAAATGGGTAGACCCAGTGGTGGGATTCTACTTCCGTGGAACCGGTTGTCAAGTAGTTAAGTAGTTAAGCCAGTGGTTGCCAAAGTGGGCAGTACTGCCCCCTGGAGGACGGTGGAATGCCTTAGGGAGCGGTAAGAGGCAAGGGGGATGGCAGGGGGGGCTAAGTGGCAAGGAGGGTGGCCCCCACCCTTTGGCCTGTGCCTCGCAGCACTTACCGCCTTGCAAGCAAACAGCAAGAAAAAACAGCCCCTTCAGCTTCAGCATCCGTTAATTAGCACAAATTGATTAGATCGGCCTCCCGACTCTCAGCTGATTTGCTCTCAGCTGTTTTGCCCGGGCTCTGTTGCTATCTGCAAAGAGTGCTGGAGCAGATTTTTTTTCCCCTAGGTATGCTGAAAAAGCGAAACTGAAAGCAAAGCAGGGTCTTTGCTGCAACGTGACAAAATGAGGCAGAGAGAGATTTCTTTTTCTTTTTCCTCACCAAAAAAGATAGGTGCAAAACTGCAAACAATAGGAAATTTAGGGCAAAAGAGGAGAGTTCAAGATTTTAAAACACAAAAGAAAAAAAGTTCTATTTAACTAGGGAATTGTAATAATTGAGATACTATTTATTTATTTATTTTATTAATTTAATTTGTATACCGCCCTTCTCCCAAAGGGACTCAGGGCAGTGAACAGCCAAAATTAAAATACATACAATACAAAAGTTAAGATAATTAAAAGAGATTAAATCAATCGGCCACCCAATTTAAAACCCCAAGTCTATAAAATTTAAAATCCCATTAAAAACCATTTAGGCTAGGCCGGCTTGCTGGAATAAATAAGTCGTCAGGGCCTTACGGAAGGTACGGAAGTCCTTCCGTAAGGACAATTAATTATATATTAATTGTATATTGTGTTGAAAGCAGAAATGGTTAAGTTATGGTTTGGAGAAATATATAGGGGAAATTATTTGGTTTATTATTATTGGTAAATATAATTAATTGATTTGTAAGAAATTGGATTGCATGGAAATAATTGGAATATTCATGTTCATATTGATTAATATACAAAAAAGATAGTTATATAACTAATTGATTTATATTAAAATGTTGAATTTGTATTAAACAACTGTAATATTACATAATTAACCAATGTGAGGCTGGATATAAAAATAGATGTCAATGGGAAGGGGTATAATATAGAATAGAAGGGAAAAAATGAATTTGATTAAGATTAGAGATGAGGATGAAGGGTAATATTGGTTTTTTTAAAAAAATAGATGAGGAATAAATATGGCAAAAAGGAAATATAGAAATTGTAAATTTAATTGAAATGACTAAACGCTGTTTAAATTTGTGAACCAGCCAAATATTCTGTTCAAAGAAAATACATTGTATGTTTGTATGTGTGTTTCTAATTATTGCTATTTATTCATATTTGTTCTCTTTTATTCTTTAAAGTTTAACAATTCATTCTTTATCTTAATATCTTTATATTTGTTTGGGGTTGGCTTTCTTCCCTTTCATCTTTTTTATTGTACAGCAATCTTTCTCCTCAAACCTACCACCTCTCTCTTTTCTTTCCTTCTTACTTTCTCTTCCTCCCCCTCTTCTTCTCCTCCCTACTTCCTCTTCCTTTCTCTTTCTCCTCCTCTCTTCCTCCCTCTCTTACCCTCACTCCTACTCTAATTTCCCTTCCCTTCCTTCATCCCTCTCTATTGCTGTATCCTTTTATGCATATGGACTACTCAGAGGGCTGAAAAAGTTATTTTTGACTGGTCCTCGCACTTTTAACCAGTCCTCAAACTTATAACTGTCCTCACATTTTACGTTTTTGCCCTATCTTGTCACCATGGTGAAGAGAAGCAGTTGTGAAATGAGTGACACGGTTGTTAAAAATGCTACAATGGGCATAAATGATGACCAGTCATAAGTGCGAAGACCGGTCCAAAGTGCGAGGACTTGTCAGAAATCACTTTTTTCAGGCCCTCTGGGTAGTCCTTTTGTGCATATGGACTACTCAGAGGGCTGAAAAAATTATTTTTTGACTGGTCCTCGCACTTTTGACCAGTCCTCAAACTTAACGACTGTCCTCACATTTTAAGTTTTTGCCCTATCTTGTCACCATGGTGAAGAGAAGAGGTTGTGAAATGAGTGACACTGTTGTTAAGAATGCTACAATGGGCATAAATGATGACCAGTCATAAGTGCAAAGACCGGTCCAAAGTGCGAGGACTTGTCAGAAATCACTTTTTTCAGCCCTCTGGGTAGTCCTTTTGTGCATATGGACTCCTCTGAGGGCTGAAAAAGTTATTTTTGACTGGTCCTCGCACTTTTGACCAGTCCTCGAACTTACGACTGTCCTCACATTTTACGTTTTTGCCCTATCTTGTCACCATGGTGAAGAGAAGCAGTTGTGAAATGAGTGACACTGTTGTTAAGAATGCTACAATGGGCATAAATGATGACCAGTCATAAGTGCAAAGACCGGTCCAAAGTGCGAGGACTTGTCAGAAATCACTTTTTTCAGCCCTCTGGGTAGTCCTTTTGTGCATATGGACTCCTCTGAGGGCTGAAAAAGTTATTTTTGACTGGTCCTCGCACTTTTGACCAGTCCTCGAACTTACGACTGTCCTCACATTTTACGTTTTTGCCCTATCTTGTCACCATGATGAAGAGAAACAGTTGTGAAATGAGTGACACGGTTCTTAAGAATGCCGCAATGGGCATAAATGTGAGGATGGTCTTAAGTGCGAGGACCGGTCAAAAGTGCGAGGACCAGTCAGAAATCACGTTTTTCAGCCCTCTGGGTAGTCCTTTTGTGCATATGGACTACTCAGAGGGCTGTAAAAATTATTTTTTGACTGGTCCTCGCACTTTTGACCAGTCCTCAAACTTAACGACTGTCCTCACATTTTAAGTTTTTGCCCTATCTTGTCACCATGGTGAAGAGAAGAGGTTGTGAAATGAGTGACACTGTTGTTAAGAATGCTACAATGGGCATAAATGATGACCAGTCATAAGTGCAAAGACCGGTCCAAAGTGCGAGGACTTGTCAGAAATCACTTTTTTCAGCCCTCTGGGTAGTCCTTTTGTGCATATGGACTCCTCTGAGGGCTGAAAAAGTTATTTTTGACTGGTCCTCGCACTTTTGACCAGTCCTCGAACTTACGACTGTCCTCACATTTTACGTTTTTGCCCTATCTTGTCACCATGGTGAAGAGAAGCAGTTGTGAAATGAGTGACACTGTTGTTAAGAATGCTACAATGGGCATAAATGATGACCAGTCATAAGTGCGAAGACCGGTCCAAAGTGCGAGGACTTGTCAGAAATCACTTTTTTCAGCCCTCTGGGTAGTCCTTTTGTGCATATGGACTACTCAGAGGGCTGAAAAAATTATTTTTTGACTGGTCCTCGCACTTTTGACCAGTCCTCAAACTTAACGACTGTCCTCACATTTTAAGTTTTTGCCCTATCTTGTCACCATGGTGAAGAGAAGAGGTTGTGAAATGAGTGACACTGTTGTTAAGAATGCTACAATGGGCATAAATGATGACCAGTCATAAGTGCAAAGACCGGTCCAAAGTGCGAGGACTTGTCAGAAATCACTTTTTTCAGCCCTCTGGGTAGTCCTTTTGTGCATATGGACTCCTCTGAGGGCTGAAAAAGTTATTTTTGACTGGTCCTCGCACTTTTGACCAGTCCTCGAACTTACGACTGTCCTCACATTTTACGTTTTTGCCCTATCTTGTCACCATGGTGAAGAGAAGCAGTTGTGAAATGAGTGACACTGTTGTTAAGAATGCTACAATGGGCATAAATGATGACCAGTCATAAGTGCGAAGACCGGTCCAAAGTGCGAGGACTTGTCAGAAATCACTTTTTTCAGCCCTCTGGGTAGTCCTTTTGTGCATATGGACTCCTCTGAGGGCTGAAAAAGTTATTTTTGACTGGTCCTCGCACTTTTGACCAGTCCTCGAACTTACGACTGTCCTCACATTTTACGTTTTTGCCCTATCTTGTCACCATGGTGAAGAGAAGCAGTTGTGAAATGAGTGACACTGTTGTTAAGAATGCTACAATGGGCATAAATGATGACCAGTCATAAGTGCGAAGACCGTTCCAAAGTGCGAGGACTTGTCAGAAATCACTTTTTTCAGCCCTCTGGGTAGTCCTTTTGTGCATATGGACTACTCAGAGGGCTGAAAAAATTATTTTTTGACTGGTCCTCGCACTTTTGACCAGTCCTCAAACTTAACGACTGTCCTCACATTTTAAGTTTTTGCCCTATCTTGTCACCATGGTGAAGAGAAGAGGTTGTGAAATGAGTGACACTGTTGTTAAGAATGCTACAATGGGCATAAATGATGACCAGTCATAAGTGCAAAGACCGGTCCAAAGTGCGAGGACTTGTCAGAAATCACTTTTTTCAGCCCTCTGGGTAGTCCTTTTGTGCATATGGACTCCTCTGAGGGCTGAAAAAGTTATTTTTGACTGGTCCTCGCACTTTTGACCAGTCCTCGAACTTACGACTGTCCTCACATTTTACGTTTTTGCCCTATCTTGTCACCATGATGAAGAGAAACAGTTGTGAAATGAGTGACACGGTTCTTAAGAATGCCGCAATGGGCATAAATGTGAGGATGGTCTTAAGTGCGAGGACCGGTCAAAAGTGCGAGGACCAGTCAGAAATGACGTTTTTCAGCCCTCTGAGTAGGGCCATGCCCACCCGGTCACATGACAACCAAGCCACAGCCCCAACTAAGCCACGCCCAGAACCGGTTGTTAAAAAAATTGAATCCCACCACTGATCTTATTAGAAATAAAGAAAGGTCCCTTCCAATTCTGTTATTCTGAAACCTTCAAAAACGAGGCAAATAAACCAAATTTGCAAAAGAGCTTTTTCCCCCCCTATCAAGGCAACCGAGCTAAAAGCTAGTGTGCCTATGCTTCCATCTAGTGGATATCTTTGCTAATAATTTATAATTTACTGTAGGTAGTTTCAAAGATGGTTTTTCAAGAGGCAACTGGGGGAAAAAAACCAAAAAGTGGTTTTTCTTTGAAGATGTTTCGCTTCTCATCCAAGAAGCTCAAAGAAAAACCAGAAAGCCCAGTTGCCTCTTGAAAAATCACCTTCAGGACAACCTGGTTGACTGAGAATCTCCATAAATACTGTATAGTTAGATCTTTTATTTATTTATCAATTTGCCACCTATCTCCCCGTGGGACTATTGTACGATAAAAATAAAAGGAGTGTAAACAGAATAGAGGTAACATAATAGAACAATAAAATAAACAAAGGAACACAACAAGAATAAATACATCACTATGGCACCGTACTAATTGGATTAATTTTAATCTTGGCTGTTTTAGGCAGTTAGCATGCTGTGCAATCCAGCCTGTTCAGTTTATTCATGATTCAGTATATATTATAAATCCAGAAAATGAGTTGAGATAATAATCAGGTTAATCATATTGTACATACTATTTAAATCACTCCCACATTTTTTTTTATAGTTGGAGAACTAAAAGAATAGCTTTGTCCATTGCTTGTCATTTCTTTAGCATATAATGATAGCTATCATGTAGCATAATTGAAACTAGGCTTGTACAGGACAGCTGGACAAGCCACTTAAGTCAAATTAATACATGTATGGAGTAAGAACAACCACATTTCCAGACATCTGTGTTGTGTCTCATTGTTACAGCAGTGAGGATTGGAGGGTCTTACCTGCAGCAAAAGAAAGAGAATCTTCTACCTGTTAAGACAAAAAGACATTTCAATTGGACACATTAAATGAAAAATAAAGATATTCTAGAGCTGGCACATTTCTTATCTATTTAAAAATGGAATTATTTATAAAACTTATATGCTATCCTTCCCGCAATTCAGAGTGACTGATATCCAGAAATTAAGCATTCTATTGCCTGTTTTAATTCCCACATGTGTTGATCAGGTTGTAGTGCTCAGCAGTGGTGGGTTGCTCCTGGTTCATACCGGTTCGTAAGAACCGGTACTAAAAATTTTTTGTAATTCGGAGAACCGGTAATAACATTGGATGGCCATGCCCCCGAACCAGTCCCCGGCCAGGTCACTGCTCGCTTAGCCCGCCCACCTCATCAGAGGCTTTTTTTTTTTAACTTTTAAAATCATTTTTTCTACAACCTATTCGGCTGAAAAAATGCTTTTAAAAGTTAAAAAAAAAAGCCTCTGATGATCGTGCGGCTCAGCTAGGATCTGAGAGGCTTTTAAAAGCATTTTTAATTTCGGCTGAAGAGGTTGTAGGAAAAAAAAAATGCCTTTAAGAGCCTCTGGTGATCCCAGCTGACTTGCCTGATCTTCAGAAGCTTCTAAAAGCATTTTTTTCTGCACCCTCTTAAGGTTGTAGAAAAAATGCTTTTAAAAGTAAAAAAAAAAAAAAGTTGGCCACACCCACCCAGTCACAATAAAAAACCCCCACAAGCCATGCCCACAAAATAACCATGCCCACAGAACTGGTAATAAAAAAAATTAGAGCCCACCCCTGGTGCTCAGTCACAAAGCTCAAAAGAAATGCATCTATTACAGAATTAGCTTATTGTGGTATACCCAGAAAAACACAGTAACATGCACAATAAATGTGCAGGAAATCAATATGGTATTCTTACACAGATCAGTCTTTCCAATCCTTCCCAATCCCAGATCTATGGACTTGATGAGAAGTCCATGCATATAGTGTGCAAAGGTTTGGAATATCTGATCTGGATAGCATTTCCTTCTTCATCTGACAATCCACATGGATACAAAGTAGTCCTCAACTTACGACTACAAATGAGCCCAAAATTGCTGTTGCTAAGCAAGACTCCTGTTAAGTGAATTTCGCCCCATTTTACATCCTTTCTTGCCACAGTTATTAAGTGAATCACTGCAATTGTTCAGTTAGTAACTCTCTTGTTAAGTAAATCTTAACAATTGACTTTGCAAAAGGTGATAACACATGACCCCAGGAAAGTTACAAAAGGTGATAACACATGACCCCGGGACACTGCAACCATCATAAATATGAGTCAGTTGTCAAGCATCTGAATTTTGATCGCGTGACCATGGTGATGTTTCAATGGTGACAAGTTGGTCATAGGTTTTTCACACTTAACAGTTTATTTAGTGACTGATCAAAGTTACAACAGCATTGAAAAAAGTGATTTTTCAATGCCATTGTAACTTTGAACGGTCATTAAATGAACTGTTGAAAGTAGAGGACTACTGTTCTGGCCCAGCTACGGATCCCAAAGAACACACAAAGTCCATTCAAACCTTAGTTTACTAAATAAACCAGTTTTTTACAACAATGGCTGTTAATTAACTGCATTAACAGCCGCCAAGAATTCAAAGAATACTGAAAGCTTACTCTGGTTGGCAGAATGCCCAGAAGCAATTTGCAGGAAGCTGATAAGATAAGCAAGACAAGACACGAAGGTATGTGAACGGATTTGTTCCCTGCAAATTGCTTCAGTCGGCGTTCCTCCTTAAATAGGCTAAGGGAGTACCTGTATAGACACACACATACTCCAGAACCATTTGATGCCCATGGTGGTTATTACCGGACATGGCAGAATCATTCCTGGAAGGGGCCTGATTTGCACTAGCTTCATCCAAGTATTGGGAAACTTTTTCAAGAACCGATTAGTTTCTTCCAGCAAGATAATCAGCCATTCCTGCATCACAGCTTGACTTGCATCTACTGGATGGAGGGTGGGAAACACAATGGATTCCAGGAAGGACCCATAGCAGGTGCAGAGACAGCTGTGGATCATATTCCGAATAGCCTTCTGTGGAAGCAACATACATAAAATGATTAGGATGAGCAGCAAAGATGATTAGGGGACTGAAGGCTAAACCATAATAAAGAACAGTTGCAGGAACTGGGTATGCCTAGCCTAATGAAAAGAAGGACTAGGGGAGACATGATAGCAGTGTTCCAATATCTAAGGGGCTGCCCCAAAGAAGAGGGAGTCAAGCTATTCTCCAAAGCACCTGAGGGCAGGACAAGAAGCAATGGATGGAAAACTAATCAAGAAGAGAAGCAACTTAGAACTAAGGAGAAATTTCCTGACAGAACAATTAATCAGTGGAACAACTTGCCTCCAGAAGTTGTGAATGCTCCAACACTGGACATTTTTAAGAAGATGTTGGATAACCATTTGTCTGAAGTGATGTAGGGTTTCCTGCCTAAGCAGGGGGTTGGACTAGAAGACCTCCAAGGTCCTTTCCAACTCTGTTATTCTATTCTATTCTATTCTATTCTATTCTATTCTATTCTATTCTATTCTATTCTATTCTATTCTATTCTATTCTATTCTATTCTCTATTCCATTCCATATTCCATTCCATTCCATATTCCATATTCCATTCCAGATTCTACATTCCAGATTCCAGATTCCATTCCATATTCCATTCTATTCTATTCTATTGGAAAAACTTGGCCAAGGATTTTGCCCACAGTTGCTAAATGAATCAATGCCATCATTAAGCAAATCCAGCTTCCTCCATTGACTTTGCTCGTTCAGAAGGCAGCTGGGAAGGTTGCAAATGGCGATCAGATGATCCCGGGAATGATGTTAAGCAACCCTTGTAAATACACGCCAGTTGCCAAGTGCTCAGATTTTGATCAAATAATCATGGGGATGATTTGATGTTGGTAAGTGTAGGGACCATTTGTAAGTCACTTTTTTCAGTGCTGTTATAACTTTGGCCACTAAAGAAATAGTTGTAAGTGAAGGACCTGTGTTTGTATTGTATTTCAAATAATATTAAACATGCAAAAAAATAATGTGCTGGCAGCCCCATGTTTTTCTAACCCATACAACACACATAAGTTTTGTTGATTCATCTGATAGTTAATGGCATCCATATGACTTAATGGGTCAATAGATCGTTAGTTTAATCTACCGAAACGTGACTTCAAAATCCAAGTACACAATGCACACATCTGCATGCAGTTAGTCCCAGATGGAAATTAGCATGTCCAAAGGATGATTTTGCCATGTTTATAACTTGTATTGTTTATCAATGTATAAAATAGAAAGAAAAATAGAAAATTAAGAGAAGAAAAAAAAGGGGGTGGGGAGAAAACATGATGTACGAGGGGAAAAAGAAAAAGGCACTGATTCCGACTCTTTTTAGCACAGTACAACAACATTGCAACCTCAACTTTTTACTTTTACACATTAATACATAATGTGTATAATAGCCATTTCATGGGACACAGTGGCACAGTGGCTAAGACGCTGAGCTTGTCGATCGAAAGGTCTGCAGTTCAGCAGTTCGAATCCCTAGTGTCCTGTAACGGGGTGAGCTCCCGTTACTTGTCCTAGCTTCTGCCAACCTAACAGTTCGAAAGCACATAAAAAATGCAAGTAGAATAATAGGAACCACTTTTGGTGGGAAGGTAACAGCGTTCCGTGCGCCTCTGGAGTTCAGTCATGCTGGCCACATGACCACGGAGATATCTTCGGACAACGCTGGCTGTTTGGCTTTGAAACAGAGATGAGCATCGCCCCCTAGAGTCGGGAACGACTAGCACATATGTGCGAAGGGAACCTTTATCTTTACCTTAGCCATTTCTATAACAAGCAGTTAATCCCAGACCGAAATTAGGATGCTCAAAGGATGGTTTCAACTGGATTAGTTCCTTCCTTTCAACCTAACTAGTAGAGTTACAGTAAAGGACAGTAAAGGAAAATGGCTACATATGACAACATAGGAAGAAAATTTCTTAAAAGAATTAATAAAGAATGAAAAGTGAGGTCCTTAGGTGCTCTCTGAGCTTGGTGGTCTTCTTGCAGACATTTCATTACCCAACTAGGTAACATCATCATTGTTAGCACCAAACACCATCAGACCTAGCACTGACTATATTACCTAGTTGGGTAATGAAATGTCTGCAAGAAAACCACCAAGCTCAGAGGGTACCTAAAGACCCCACAGTTCAGCCCTGAGCTATAAATATTCTATCAGTAGAATGAAAAGTAGAGGACAGGCATAGAAGATTTGCCCAAATCTGAAAGCTTGAATAGGCATTTTCAAGAAGAATATCAGAAAAAAAATGAAAAATAGAAAGCTCACTATCAGAGATCAGAAAGAAAACAGAAATGTGTTTACAATATCTGAGAAAGGAAGGAAGGAAGGAAGGAAGGAAGGAAGGAAGGAAGGAAGGAAGGAAGGAAGGAAAAGATAGGAGGGAGGGAGGAAGGAAGGAAGGAAGAAAGAATGTAGATAGGAAGGAAAAGGTAGGAGGAAAGAAGGAAGGAAATAGGAATGTGGATAGGAAGGAAAAGATAGGAGGAAGGAAGGAGGTTAGGAAGGAAAAAATAGGAGGGAGGGAGGGAGGGAGGGAGGGAGGGAGGGAGGGAGGAAGGAAGGAAGGAAGGAAGGAAGGAAGGAAGGAAGGAAATAGGAATGTGGATAGGGAGACCGAAACCCCCATGCTTCCTACTATCTTGTAACAGCTTAAATTTAATGCGAGGTTTTTTATCTGCCCATATAAATTTAGATATTATTTTGTTTATTTGTTCAAAAAAATTCTCGGTCTCCCAGACTGGGAGCTCTACTACCAGGCAGCAGTGCTGACATGGTTAAGAGATTGGATTCAACTTAAAAACAAAAGAATATTAGCATTAGAAGGGCACGATCTCCAACTAGTTGGCAGGGGTTTCTATGGGAAGGTAAAAATAAAATATTCATATTTTCAGAGGCATATAATAAGGAATTCTCTATACAATGTCTGGGTAAAGATTAAAAAACACCACTATATGAAAATACCAAATTGGCTATCGACAATGGAGGCAATGGCACACCCAAACACAATAGACCTCAGTAAAATGAGGAAGTTGTAAAAGAAACGATGATTAGTTGGGGAAGGAATTTTGGCCACAGCATAGAATTAGAACAGTGGGACAAACTATGGAAAAGGAACTACAAACTCACAACAGCAATTACCTACAAAGAAAACCTCTATAAAATGTTTTATAGGTGGCATTTGCCACCAGCGAGATTGGCCCAGATGTATCCCAATTGATCACCTAATTGTTGGAGATATAACTATAAATCCGGAACATTCTACCATATGTGGTGGACGTGCCCCATCACAAGGAAGTATTGGTGTCAAATTCAAAAATGGTTGGAAGAAATTACAAAGCAAGGAATAGATTTGAAACCTGAATTATTTTTATTAGAAATACTGGACCTGAAAATGAATAAAAACCTTCAATACATTATATTGCACATACTTACTGCAGCAAGAATCACATTAGCAAAAAATTGGAAACAGAAAAATATACTGTCAGATGAAACTGTAATTAGGAAAATTCTAGAATGCGCAGAGATGGATAAAATGACTATGGAGTTGAAAGAGAGAAATATGGAATGTACAGTTGGCTTGAAAATAGAAATCAGAGGAGTTGCGGCAAAAATAATTTGGATAAAGGAGTGGATCAAATTACAAGAAGTAGAATCTTGACACTAGAAGGACACGATCTCCTTGAAGGATGGCACTCTTATCTCTGGGACATAAAGGATAGGAAGAAAACTCATTTCTATAAACATAAAATTAGAGAGACATTGATCCGTACGTGGCTGGAAATTAGACAGAAGATATATACCAATGTTCCTAGCTGGTTGTCGATTATGGATGCTCTAGTGGCCCCAAATAGAAGAGAGAACTATAAAATGGGCACATATAAGGATATCTTGGATGAAGAAGGGAAGCTCAAGCCCTTGGAAGTGCTGAGGGACCAGGGGTTTATTCTGGATTGGTGGAAATATCTTCAGATTAAGTCTAGATTTCAAGAAGATAGAGATAAACGTGGTATTGAAATGAAATATGGATATTTTGACAAAATTATTTGGGGACCAGATAAGAAAATGCTATCGAAAATCTATAACTTTATATTAGATGAGGATAGAGCTGAGAAGATAGCTAAAAATCAGCTAAGCATTTGGGAGAAAAATTTAGGATATGGCCTTAATTTCAATGACTGGGAGATAGCTTGGAACAGAAATCTCAAAATAACGAAATCGGTAACATTCAGGGAAAATCACTACAAAATGCTGCATAGGTGGTACCTAGCCCCGGACAGGCTGGCCAAAATATTTCCAAATTCTTCTGCTTTATGTTGGAAATGTGGAAAGACGGTCGGCACCTTTTACCATCTGTGGTGGACTTGCCCTGAGACCAAAAAGTTTTGGTTAAAGATCCGACTCTGGCTCTCGGAAATAATGGGACAAGAGATAGCCCTGGCCCCGGAATCCTTCCTCCTAGGTATGATTGAAGATGGTCTCGACAACAATAAAACCCAATTGGCAATTCAAATTATTACTGCGGCTAGATTAGCCTTTGCGAAACTCTGGAAATCCAACTCTACCCCCTCTGAAGAAGGATTAATAAATAAAATTCTAGAGTGCGCAGAGATGGCTAAATTGACAAGCGAGCTAAAAAATGAAGAGAACTTCAAGTACTATGAAATATGGGGAATTTGGTATAACTGGTTAAAGAATAGGATAAAAATATGATAATAGGCTACGATTTGTTAGACACCCGAAATGGACTTAATTGTATAGAAATGTAGAGAATTGTATAGAACTGTATATTGTATAGCTATGGATGAAAT